GCTTACTGCTGCTTCTACTACTAATTCAGAAATTGACACTTCTTTGATCAATCTCCTAACTCCATGACAGGTCTCCTGCCATGGCCGCATTCTTCAGTCAAGCACATGTCTATTTTATTAAACCACCTATTTTGTATGGAACTAGATAATACTCTCATTACTATTTAATAATCTCATTAATATTTACTTTGTTGTTGTGGAATTAATTGGATTCTAGCAAGTTGAGTTAGTTTTGCTAAGAGCCGCTCATTTAGTGGTAGTGGTAAGTCACATTAATCGTGAAGCAATCCAAGACTTAAATCCTGGCCTGGGACGCAAAGCTTATCTATCGATAAAGGCCCATGGTAAGTTACCCTTTGACTGTTGACAAGCGACAGAGGCTCAGGCACGTAAGTTACACAGGCCAAGCCCTAACCCAAACAACCCTAGCACGATCTACCTCCAAATATGACGTCTGAAAAAGTCAAGGCGCAGTTTTCATATCTTGGCTGGCGCCGCCTGATCATCTCCAACTTTGCTCTTATTATTTATATAACTACCTTGTAATCGCACTTCATCCTGTGGTAATATGTTTTTAACTACGACGATACTCGCTTAGCTTAAGTAATTTCTTACCCCAAGTTTATACTTCTGGATAGACAATAGCCCAGCCCAGTTTTGTTTGTTCTCCAGTCAGGGACGTCTGCGCAGCCAGCACATCCACACCACAATGGCGTCGCAGTATATCAACTACATCAAGTCTAGAGCGCGCAACTCAAAGGCCTTAAAAGCTAAAGAGCCTGTTCTGACGACGGAAGATGAGGAATTCTTGCACCGCGTGGCCTCACCCAAAGAGGAGGGACGAGATGCACAAATCGTTCTCATGGAAGGTGCACAGAATATCCCCCTGCCACAGTCACCAACGGAAGAAACTTTCACTAGGGAGTTGGTGGACAATGATGGGATGAGTAGGAGCATGAGCAAGTCGTTGAAGGGGAAGAAGGAGGATGAGAATGCTGGAAGTCCTAAGGGGAAAAGGAAGGGTCCGTGGAACTGGTTTACGCATGGGGCGGATAGGAGGAAGAAGGTATGGTCCTTGCCTCTTTTTTTCTTTTCTTTTTACTTTTCCCCCCCTCTCATTTGTTCCTGTGTCCGTGGTTGTCTTATGATTGTCTGTGTTCCTTGTTGTCGTATTAGGAAAATGCCGCCGCAGGGCTATCCCATATCGCCAAAAACCTCAAAACACCTGGTACAGAGGAGGTGAAAGAAGAAGAGGATTTAACCATGATGCTCGAAAAACTAAACCTGGCCGCAGTCAACAATCGCGTTTTCTCAATCAGTGATGAAATACAAGATCTTCTCAAGAGATTCAACCTGATCCTCAAAGATCTGGTCAATGGCGTTCCCACAGCATACAACGATCTAGAATCACTCCTCACGAACGGAGATGGACAATTACAGAAGACTTTTAATCACCTCCCAGGCTTCCTCCAGAAGCTCATCGAGCAGCTACCGGATAAAGTGACTGAGAAATTCGGCCCGGAGTTCCTGGCAATGGCTGCGGAGAGAGCGGGGAAGGGCGGGATTAGTATGGATGAAGCGGCGAAGAAGGCGAAGAAGGTGGGACTGAAGGTTCCGAGTTTGAAAGAGCTGGTGGGAAAACCCGCAGCAATTGCGGGCCTGTTGCGGTCTATCGTTAGCTTCCTGCAAGCGCGGTTTCCGGCGCTTATGGGTATGAATGTTTTGATGTCGCTTGCGTTGTTCAGTAAGGAACGCCCATCTCCTATATTTATTCGCTATACATTTATTCCTTCCATTTTTATTTTCGTTTGCCTTTTGAGTTCCCCTTTCTATACTATTGATTGATCTAGGAACGAACTTTGCTAACAGCTCAACTTCATTTTCCTTACTTACCTATAGTTCTCCTTTTCGTCCTCTGGTACTGCTATAAACGTGGACGTGAAGTGCGTCTAGAGAATGACAAGCTCAATGCAGAGGGCCAAGATGCTACGATCACATATAAACCCGATGAAAATGGTAACAATAACAGCACATCAGGGGCGCAGACCACGAATCTTGCACCCAATAATCGCACATCAATCCAAATTGAGCCAGCAAAGAAGGAAGGAGATGGAGAGGAAGTCGAGGCTGGAGTGAGGGATGCGCGCGACGATGCAGGTGTAGCTGGGTTACCGTCCGCACGCACACCCGTATCTGCACCTGTACCGACGATGACAACCACGACCACTTGCAAGCACTGACAACGTATCATCACCTGCTGCATCTCAAGCTGAGAAGCAACCACGTCGCTCGAAAATTTAATCATATCCAGGGACCTAGACCTGTTTTGAGTGGTGGCCTTTGCATAGGGCTTCTTGTTTAATAATATTTATATTCTTTCTTTCTTTCTTTCTTTCTTTCTTTCTTTTTCATTGGGAAGGGGAAGGGGTTTGTTATTTTCTCTTTGGATTTAGTGAGGTGGTTGGACACGTAGAAAAGATCCGACTAGAGTGGAGCGGAGGAGCGGATGGGAACCAAAGAAAACTTCTATGATTGAAATGGGAAGGATGATAATAATAACTTGGAATATGATTGGCTTTTCTCAGGGACATGCATGCATGCTTCTGTGGGTTGTAATGGAGATAGTGGGGAGAGGGATAGATTATGAGCGGGGTTGAGGAATTAGTTGGTGATTGCACTTGGAGGCGGTCTGGAAGATTGTTCTTCCTCCCCTCTCATCCCTCGTCCTCCTAATCCCCCGTCTCTATTTGCTGGATTTTGGTTAATTAGTTTCTTGACATTTCGTTTTTCTTCCCTCCCCCGGGATCTTTACGATATAGGAACTGGATATTCCCCCTTATCTTGTTATTTTATACACTAAAATTGTTTAACAGATGTATTATATTTGTGTTGTCCGTTGCACTATCCAATGGAGTCAAAGTTAAAGTTGCATCAATGAAAGGATTTTTTAACCCGCAATACAAACTTAAATATCACGTGAATCGAGAGCTACATCCATGGATCCAGGATCTGACAAGCAATGGAACAGGTCTACTTAAAAAAAAAAAGGGTAGTGGGGAAACTCAATTGTTCTAAGTTTTATTCTGTAGATTTGTGATAGATCTGGCCAATTTATAAATATATATATATATATAGTTCTACTGGTGGCAAAAAAAATTCATATAACCAATAAAAAAAAGTTGATGTAAAACACCAAAAAAAAAAAAAAAAGAAAGACACCTCGGATAGCTTGGCGACACTCAGAACTCCCGCTGATTCCAGGAAGGTTTTGCTGCGGAGGCGGAATTCCAGCGGGAAACAAGAGCGAGGGAACTTCTACCATCGTTCATCCATGCCATATGGTGAATTTTTCCACGGTTTCGTCCGGTCGTATCGTGTCGTGTTACCAATCCTCGACTCACGTCTGCAATACTGATGAATCATAATATGCGCTTACCATTACCAACCGCAACGTGTCAATTAGTTGCCGGCCAAGTGCGCGCCACTAGCCCCGGTACGAATCGTATGATTGACGATGGCGATTTACATTGGGCTGGGTCTCACTGGCCAGACGGGAATTATTGTTATGCGGTTGAGTATTGAAATCTTGAATCTGTTGATTGTTCTGGGGATAAAGATCGTAGGATGGTGGTGGGTCGTTGTAGGAGGAGGGGAGTGTATGTATAAAAGGAAGGATGAGGAGGAGATCTATCTGATAATAAAATACAATGATATGTTTGCTTTGATATTGTCAGAACTCCTTCGCCTTGCCTTCCATTGCTCGACGCATATATGTCCATGTAATGTCCTTCATCGTTGGCAGATACCAAAGAGTGTAGTTTCATGCTTGCAAAATTTTAGAGGGACGCACGTTACTTGCCATCTTAACGGAGTGGGGTCTCCCTGTCCGAAGCAGGCAGACTAGTGTTTTGGAAATCCCAGTGGTGGCGTGTGACAGTCAACACACGGACTTAGTTAATAATGCAAAACTATTCTGACTCACATACAGCACAGACAGCTAACTAGTTGCTGATAACTATATTTTTATTTCCTCATGGTTAAAAGTCATCACCGCCCCATAATGTGTTATTTGGTTGGATGTGGTTGCTGCTCTTGCTGCTGTTGGGGTGTGGTATCCGCGGTACGGAATCATAGCCTGCCTGCGGTACCTCCCCGCCTGTTCTGGGTAAGGAGTGACAAGTTATCTGGTACCAACCCTAAGATGCGGTGAGCTGACCCACCAATTAAAAGGTTCATGCCCAAGCCAGGACCCATCAGGACCCGCAAGTGCTAGTCTGATGTGGCCTAGCGTCCGGCCCGCCAACCAATACGAGCAATACCCCATCATCGGACTAATGTAGAACCGCCCCGGCCGGTCCTCTCGGCCTGGGCTGCTCATTTTCTGCATTTTTCTACCCTCTTCTTCTGTTCCTCCTCCTCTTCTTCTTCCCCCGCAACCACCAACAAAACATACTAATTTGCGCACCCAAGATCAAACGAAGAACAGAGCCATACTTCGTCACTACAAATATCGTCGAGGAATAACGCCAAATGGCTGTCGCTGGGCTCTAAATCCCCTTACTGGGAGAGCAACGGCGTGACTTGAATAGCCCACCCCAATTGCTCTCCCAGTCCAGGAAGCCCAACGAGTACATTTCAATCGACTTGACGATATTTGATAACTCTTTCGACGGTTACGCCGTACGTCGAAATTGCCCCCAGTACCAGCTCAGAGCAAATACTTCAAACGTCCGTCGAAGGGTGGGGTGTTTTTGTAGTCTGGTTTTTTCTTCTGCTGCTCTACTCCCCCGGCCCCGCCTGTCCTCTCCTTTCACCATTATCTCTCTTTGCTACATGGAAACTTCCGTCTCTCCCTAATCCGACGTCTTCCGCAACTCCTTTTTGTAAACTATTTCCATATCTACATTATTTACTCGGTTATTCCCCTGAAACTCTTCCCATCTAATCACAATTGATAATACCACTACGACCTCTCAATTGGGCCTTCCCAGTCCATTGTTATGTCTCCTTTAAAGGCTACGAAATCGAGGCGTTCGCCCGGAAGGATATCGCGCTTGGTTGGAAACCACAGTACGCCTCTTGGCGACAGTGATTCGACAGCCTCCATTTCGGGCGTACTCTGCTCAAAGGTTGCAAAAAAATCGACTCGGTTCCCCTCTGTTAAACGCAACATCCCCATTGCGGGGCAAGGAAACAATAAAAAACGAAAACCTTCATCTTCCCTGAATGAAGATTCAACTTCTGAAAACGACTGCGACGATGAGGACGACAACGAAGATAATGAAGATAGCATCGATGAAGATCCTGAACTTCCAGAAGCGTTTGCCCCGTCTTATGGCCGGAAGAAGGGATGGAGCCATAAGGCGGGGCGTCGGGATTGTTTGTCACCCCTCATGGATAGAAAACGGGTAAAGCTCCAGCACAGTGGCTATGAAAGCGATGTCGAAAATAGTTCCGTTAGTTCTGCTAGCCCGCTGAGCTCTGCGGGGTCTGTCGGCTCTGACTCAGACGACGGCTATGAGGCTGTCAATGATGTCAGTGATGTCGATGATGAGGATCAGGATATTGAAATGATGGAAGAAGAGATAATTCTGGACTCGGAGTATGAGCGTGACTTGCAGACGGTAGCTTCTACATTTTCTTCCGTGGTTCCAGATGAATGGTTGGGATTGGACGAGCTTGAGAGTCATCCCCTTTACTCTACTGGCTCGTTCTTTGAGGATGAGCAGCTCTTTTTACAATCTGGCCATGTCGAGGCAGCCGAGGATCCAGACCTGAGCAACATACCTCTGAATCTTCCCGCTCGACAGGTTCACTTCGCAGAATCAGATAGTTCTACGGACTCCGATAAGACAACCGATGATGAACTTCTGTCTGATTTCCTACAACAAGATGCTCTCGACCCAGATCTCCGAAGACTGATTGAAAATGATTCCGAACCCCGTCGCCACCTAAACCCTAATGAACCGTTTGTAAGCCAAGACTTCTATGAGCTGCCAGGGAACATATATCACGTGGAAACAGAATCCTCTGTTGCAAGTTCCAGTGGCTATGACTGTATGTACTATATATGGCCAAATGCACCTTCTTAGCTAACTCGCGATTCTTAGCGGACTGTGGTGAAACCACAGATGAAGATTTGCCTCCCCCAGCAACAATCACACATCCCCGGTCCATCCTACGTCGTGACTCGAGCGCATCGTTACCTCCTTTTGCAGAGGAATCCACCCAGCGTTCCCAGCCATTGCGTAGACGTGGACCACTTAGAGGCACCTTCATCGCCGATCCCCACAAGCCAGTCGCCGTTGTCGCTCCTAATGGAGCTCAATTGATTCTCATACCCCCTTATTCGACTTCCAGACATGACTGGCTTGAAAACGCCGCCCAAAGCCTGTGTAGCACTGCTAACAATAGTCCTCGCACTATTGCTACCGCTCTGGCTGATGATAGCGATACCGATGCTCTGTTGTCACCATTGCAGACTACAAACTTGAGCCCAATGCTTTCTTCCAATGCCAATCTCATGATAACTGCACTGGGTAGTGATGCTGTTGGCCAAATAACCGGTCCTCCCGAGGCATTCTACCCTTCCCAAGGACTGCTTACCAACAGCTTCGACGACGAAGATGAAGACGACGATAGCGAAGGTGTTCTTAATGTGGACGACTTCATTGACTTTGGAAATGGCTCCTCTGATGAAGAAGAACTGGACAAAGACTTCGACGGTGTCAATGACGTTTCCGCCACCACAGCCGTTCCTTCGCCAACGGAAAATAATAATAATAATAATTCCACAGAACTCCCACAAGTCAATAATCACAGCAATAGTGCAGAGCGTCTCTTGAACCACCTGGACAAAGGTATCGTTACTGCCTTTCGCCGCAACCACTCTCGCTACCAAGCCTTGATCCGACTTCCACAACACCGCGAGTTCGTACCGGCTAATTCACCTTCGCGCCCAGCCAGCGTCTTCAGACGCAGCAAATATATTGAGCACAAAACTCCAACTAGGAAGCAACGTGCCGTGGGAACCTACACTGGTGGTGAAGCGGTTCGTCGCAAGCTGATCAACTCACATCGGAGCAACAAGATTACCTTCTAATGGGCTGTTGTTCCATGCCACGTCTCAACATCCAGCATACGATATTGAGGTCAGCGGCCAGTATTGACTAGCAGTCTTTTTTGGCCTTGCCTTACCTTTCATATCCCTTTAATATATCTCTCTCTTTCCCTCTGTGTATGTCTGTGTGTCGCCTGTCCCGCCGCTTCATCAGCCCCCTCATTTTATGCATCAAGAACCTGTTTCTCTTCCAGTGCATTTGATCTCTTGACGGTGATGAAGATCCACACAGTCCACAACTCACAACAACCAACAAAAAAAAAATCGAATTCCCTTCTGATTTCCCCCCGTCCCTTTTTTGCGACTTCCTTACAACCCGAATTGGAAAGAAACCCCAGGGCAAACTCGAAAGCAGAGAAAACTTTCTCGGCTTGCGAATTGCAAACGTCAGACGAAAAGTCGGTGATTTCTTAAATTGCGTTTGTCTTCAAAGACAAACTGTAATAGACCCAATTGTGGTGGCAAGGAGTCCTTTTTTTCATTTCGTTTTTTTCGGCGTTCATCGTGGTGGAAAAGGAGTAAGGAGAAAAGTCGCCCAACCGAGGATCCAATCATATACCTATCCAGACCGAATTTACATCTTCCCCCGTTATTCTGCAAACGTGGTTGGAGATGACAAAATATTCTGAAACGATTTCCGGTTCGATTTTAATGATTTTGGTAAACATCGGTTAATGTTGCGTCTGGCTGTGTTGCCTCTCGTGCGTTTGTGCTATGTTTGTAATGGGTGTACAGTGGCTTCGATTTTCGCTCAAGTGCCTCTCCTCCCACACCCCCTTTTGTTTATTTTATTTTATTTTCGATTTCCACTGATAATAGTACACTCGCGCCTGGTAATATCGGAGCATTTAATGATCAGCCTTCCCCCCTCAAAACTTTATTTATTTATTTATTTATTTATTTTTTATAAGAAAACCGTTGATTAGGTCTTGATCTCATTTGGCGGGAAATGTTTCTGCTCCTCTCTTTTCTATATACATCTGCATCTCCACACTTTGTATATGGATGAGAGGTGTCAGCGGGTTACCTGCGCGGAGTTAGGCTGGGTGGGAATCGAAATGAGGTTCCTGTTTTCTTTTTACTTTTTTACACTTTTTCCTCTAATAGGTCATCTTTGGTACCTATTTCTTTCTCTTCCGGCTGGATATCCCTATTGCTGTTGTGACGTGGGTTGCTTGTGCTTTACCTTTTCTCCTCTCGCGCCTCATGGCTATGAGAGCGTCTTTGATTTCATTCTCTATTTCCCCTCCACCATTAATGGTTATGAATAAGTACTGTTTGAACAGTTCTATTTGTGAGGCGTTTCTTCCCCCCCCCCCCTTCCCCCCCCTTTTTTTTTATTTTCTAATCTTTTTTGAAAAGTCAAATGCTAGCTAGCAGATTGTATACGGGTTGTTAGTTATTCCTTCGAATAACATTATTTTCAGTTAATAAATGTGTTGAACTTTCCCTCGACGTGCTAGAAATATTTCTTGGTAGACCCGTCGGGTCTCCTCTTCATGTTAGTTGCCTCTCAGTCGGGGCAATATCCATCCCAGCACATCACCCGGCTAGGTAGGCATGACGTTACGGGAGCAAAAGCTTTCATTCCATTTGGAACGGCTTCGTTTCGCCTTTCTTTGCCTCTCTTGGACGCGGAAGTGGCCAGAGTCTGTTGGGATAAAGTTTTTCAATTAAAAGAGGGAGCAGGAGGCGACAGGAGGTGATTTGAATGATGTGTATGTCATCATCCATAATGTCACATATGAGTGAGTATACTCTCATCAACTGGGGGGATGTTTGGGTAAGTATCGGAAGCGATACTAGGAAGCCAAGCATTAAGACGCTATATTTCATCGGGCTTACGGACTAATATCACCAAAGCTCAAAAGGCGAACGAGATAAGATTATGATATCATGATATGTCTTTGATTTGATATGTTGGATTTTAGGTGCGAGCTTTAACTTCCCCGTTCAAACAGATCCACTCCAAGGTTTAGCCAACCATGTTTGATTGGATTGATGTTGAGATGCCAAGCAAGCCAATGGAATCTCCGGGACGCTTTGCCCAATCAGAAGCTTCACAACTGATACTATAATCACGTGACGTATATACTACCAGCTTGGTTGATTATCCGTGGGATGCCAAATCCTACATCAAGTGTTCGAATTCTACGGTTAGTCTCTTTGAATTTTTTTTGTCTTTGTGGCTGGCTTGAAACCTTGCCACTTAGCTATATCTATTGACTTCGCCAATTTATGCTCGTTTTATGTGAATTTGTGAATAAGAACCGGGTGAAGCGGACGAGGGATGAAGGCTAGGCGCATCTAAAGATGAGTGTGGATGGGTTTGTCCCGGACCCATCTGATCAATACGGGGAATATGATGTGAGATATTGATGTGACATATGACGTTTGTTTCGAAGGGCTTTTTTTGGGCTTCTGAACGTTAAGGTTCCCCCTCCCTCTTCTTTTCTTGTACGGTCAACATTTCCGTGGTGACGAACCTCGAAGATCGACTCTTTGGGTTCTGTTTTTCAAGTCTTCATTCTGTTGCGCTACACAGGGAGTCCACTGTTGGCTACAAATAAGGTTCTGAAAAACTCGTGGATCTTTTGTTTCTGAAAGACGAGATCTTCCAAACTACTTAAAGTATAAGGGGTTTTTCACAGATGCTTAAACATACCGGAGATAAAATGTTCCGTATATGGACTGGGATAGATTATTCATCCATCACAGTCCACCCGCATTCTTCTATTCCCAAGTTCTCTTTTTATATTTCTTCTGAAGGCGCGCACTTCTCTCCAACTCTGCCGGTAACATGTGTGATCTACGTCTAATCTGATGGATTCAAGTCATGCACGCATACATGCATAAAGCAATAGTTGAGATGGTCATCCCCTTGCTTAGTATCAGTGTGTAGGGTGGAGCCTATTTACTAACCCCCGCATTACTAAACTCCATCCTTTTCGCATCCGTGGACTTCCACGTTGATGTGGAGTTGGCGGCAGAAGAGGAATATATCGAATCCTCTGCCCTTTGGTGCTGGCTGCCCTTGTTTGTGAAGAGCAAATTATTTGTCTACTTTCTTTCCTCAAACTTGCGTCCCCCCCCCTTCATACATATGCTCTCCAAATACCAGTTGATGACGTTCTGTTTCCATTTGATTGTATTTAGAGTTTCTCATTAGGAGGAGATACATAACTTCTTCATATTACGTCGATATATTTTATATCCCCCCTTTCTTTTTCCTGACGTCGATTTCTTGTTTGAGTTTTGCTCCCCAAGGTATATACAGTTGGACTGCAGATCTTTCTTTCTAGTCCAAGATTGATTTGGAACCATGGTCCTACCAAACCTCTTCAGGAGCTCAGATGAAAATACCAGAACATCATGGGGCTACAGCTTTCAGTGGACGGAAGATCATTTGACACCCGAAAAGATGGAGCCCATGAAATATACCTACGATAGGCTAGGAGATGAATGTCTAAAACGATTAAATGAGATCTCGCCACCCCCGCAAAAGGCTCTGCCTCGTACCAACGAGCGACTTGCCCAGAAAGACGTTGGCGGCATGGAGAAACCTAAAAGAGACCTTTATGTGCTCCTCAGGGATAATGCAGATAAGGACGGGAAATTGGCAGCACTTTGGAATCAAGTGAATACCACCCCTGGCTGGGTGGATTGGGATCAGATAGAGAGGGGTCAGGATGTCTTTTATCGATATGGAATTCCAGCTCTGAATGCAGTAAGTTGATGTGAATTCCCTGGATAGGAAATTAACACAATAGCAGCAGTTGCTTATACTCCAGTTTTCCTCCTTAGCTGGGTTTCCAAAGTTTGCTGGGAGGAATGTACGTGCTTTAGCTAACCTTAACCCCTTTTTTTATATTATTCGGTTCTGACCTTAAAACACATAATATAGGGGCGTTGGACGCATCGTTGAGACTCTCGCGCGTACAGGTGGATTTTCAGCAAAGATTGCTCGACGGAGAATGTTCGAAACGACCCAATTTGTTTTTCAAGTAACCATGTCTCTCAAGGACATCCAGCCAGGGGGGGATGGCTTTGCCTCTGCGATTAGAGTTCGACTGCTCCATGCAGCGGTCCGAGAGCGGATCCTCAAACTTGCCGAAGCAAGACCGGAATATTATAGAGTAGAGAAACTCGGGATCCCAGTCAACGACCTCGACTGCATCGGTACGATCGCGTCCTTCTCCACCCTTCCCATCTGGCTCAGCTTGCCCCGTCAAGGCATTTTTCTCCGCGACCAGGAAGTTGTTGATTACATTGCGTTCTGGCGCCTGATTGCGTACTACCTTGGTATGCCAGCGGAACCCTTTGAAACTCCGCAAAAGGCGCGGGCCGCACTTGAATCCATTCTTCTATATGAAATCAAGCCGACGAAGATGAGCAGGATACTGGCGAGCAATATTATTACCAGTCTAGAGAACACCCCTCCCGCCTGGGGAAGCCGTGGATTCCTGGAGGCTATTACGCGCTGGCTAAATGGCAAAGAGCTTTCTGACCAGCTTGGTATTGGGAACTCCGGATATTACTACTATGGCTTGGTAATCGGATACTGTGCCGTTGTTAGTCTCTGGAGTTATTTTAACAGGGCTTTCCCATTTTTTGACAGGAGACACATTGCAGTATGTCGCGACCCATGGGCTTAAGCTCCCTTAGTTGGTTGCGCCTTTTGAAAAATTTCTACGCATCCCATCAACATCCCAGACGTCATTGAAACTAACGAATGATAACAACCTCCAGAGAACGCGTCGCAGTTTCTGGAAAATTATCCTTGACGAAAAGATCGGGCTCGGTAAAGAAGCCAAATTCGACTTCAAGTACATGCCTAGTTACGACCTAACCACTGAAACAGGTGCTAAGGCGGAGCGCACGAGGTCAACCATGGGAATCGAATTGCTGGGCTATTTGGGTCTGGCGGGGGCCATGGCCGTGACGGCCGCAATGGGAATTGTTGGTTATGCGACTTACCTGATGAGACATGGAAGATGATGAAAGCATGAACCCGTTGGCGATACGTTATGTTATTTTACCTTTTCCTTTTATTTTTTTACATTTTGCAACATCCATTTTACATCGACCCTGCTATGAATTCCAACCCAATTTTATGAGCTCAGGCAGTCACACGAAGAAGTTATGGTGGAATGAGTTGTTTAATTTTGGGGGAGATATTGGTGAAACTAACTACAGCGTGTACGCAAAAACGCTGGATATCTATATTGCGTAAAGTACACAAAAAATCTTTGCTGCTATTGGAGGATATATATACAAATGTTAACTCGAATAGAGAAGGGGATCTCGCGTTGCTTTCTTTCAGGATTTTGTTTTTTTTGGGGGGGATTTAGGTTTCCCACATGTTTATTGGCACCAGCAATGTCAGCGGAATGGCGCTGCGATGTATAACTAACTAGCCCGAACAAACATGGCTCCCTCAACTGAAAATGGGCGAACCTCAAAGAGGTATGTAATTCGGTTATTTGACTTTGGCAACACAACGAACAAATTTATGTTTACAGGATATGTTTTACTTACTCTGAACGTGTAACTAGTTGTTTCAGCCCAAAGACCCTTCGTGTAGAGCCTGGGTTAATCTGATTGGTTCAACTTAACAAAGGCGCCAAGGTGGTGGCTCAAACAATGCCATGGAGTCCTCTCAAACCAGTCATTAATGATCCATTCAGATCACCGCCAAAGACGATTAAGTGGACCATTCAACTTACTAACTACCGAGTGACCCTGCGCGCCTGCTGTTTCATCATCCGGTGCCAAAGCAACCGCTGGCTGGGAATCTTCTTCAATCCATGACGGAGGGGTTCTAAACTCTTCTGTATCATTCGCGATATAGCTTTTACATCTACGAGGGTTCCAGCAATCACATCTTGGAAGAAAATACGTCGACCTTGGAAGAGGCCGCAGTTGCTGGCAGATAGTCGGTTCTAAGTGGCGTGGGATGGGCGCCATCTGGAGATCAATTCGAAGATTTTCCCGAGTGATCGCTACCATTCTATTAATAAATAATTACCACCTACTTCCATGAATGGCCCGATGGCGTGCAGATGGTTAAACTGGCGGCTCAAAGGCTAAGCGTCCTCCGGGTTCCTGCAGGCAGTTAAAGTTCTCTGGTGTGTTTGAAAGATCAAGCAGCCAGAACTGTCTACGGCGCCAGTGGCCTGCACTCCTTCTTCATGACCCATGCAACATGAAAAGAAAAGAAAAAAGCCCTGATCTGTGGGGCCTTTGGGCCTTTCCACCCAAACACAAAGAAGATACAGCTATGGAAAGCTGGCGCTAGCACCGGCCGAAGCTTGATCTGGCTCCATCTGGTTCAACTTCCCGATCCTTTCAACTCCTGCAGCTTCAACTGACCAGTCCAACATCGGCGTTTCTATCTTGGGGACACGATCTGCTACTCCAACCCAAACAAGAGAGAATTTATTCCAATACTGACCAATTTGGAGACATTCTCTTCAGGCTAATGCGATATTTTATTGGTGGGCGGTTTGATTTTAGTTTCATCCTTTATATCCAAACTTTTGAAGAATGGAAAATTCCCGCCCGGAGAAAAGGGTCCGGGGAGCGTACCTGACCCATTGCAGAACTGAAAATCGAGAAGATGTGAACAATTTCAATTGCAGACCGTGTGGTTTGTTCCAGAGCTAAACGCTTGGTGAAGAGAGCTTCCAGGTTCTCTTAGAGTTGTTTCGAACATGAGCCTCCCCGGCGACTGGTCCATCTGTTGACGCCGAGACAGCAGTACCATTTGCAGAATTGTAGAATGAGCGCATATATATTGGAGGCTTTACTGCCATTCAACTCTTCCTTGCTTCTGTTCTACCACACCCATTCCTTCTTTCAAAATTGGTTTCCTATTCCTTGTTTGTTTTGTTCCTAAGTTCACTTGTACCCGCATCTGTTGACATTCTAAATTTTTATCATACCCACACTCGCTGGCCCGGTAGTTTCGTTTTGACATATCGCTGCTGGCACGCGATATATATCCAGTTTCTATTCACACTCACTCCTCTATCTAATTTTATCATTTGGGTCCTGCAAGCATGACCCCTTCTTCTATGAGAGCTACACTGGGTGCAGTTGCGATTTTTGCCGTAGCAGTTCAGCAAACAGGTGCTACAGTATGTCCACATTGGTTGCTAATTCCCTTCATCTATCTATCGTTAACTAACCACTTTGTATAGTATTCTTGGGACACGAACAAATTCTTCCCCAGTCCTTCGAACTGTGACAACAAGTGCTCCGATGTCCAGAAGACTGGGTTTGACTGGGAAAACCTTTCGGTCGGACCTTTCACTTCATTTGGTGATTTTGATTTCTCAGGATTTACCTGCAGTGATCAGAAGCCTGTTGAGTCAAATTTCCAGGTACCATAGCCGCTGCTACTTACCAGTGATGCCAGATTTGAACATGATTTTAACATTGATTCCAGAACAAATGCATTCGAGGCAAACTGCTCAGGGGTTCCTCTAGCGATGGACCAAACATCTCGTACGGGAAATCCATCGGTTTCTCCATCAGCGCTTTCCAGATCACAACCGACCAGGACACGGATGTCGGCTTTTTATACACAATGCCGGATGGCTCCACCTGCAAACACACCACTCCCTGTTCCAAGGGCGGCTCTGAAGTTCAGAATACACAGTGTGGAGGAGCAGTCAGTGTGAAGTTCAGTCTCCCAGAATACAGTAACCTGGATGGTTGTGGATTTGCAATCCACAAAATAGATTTTGACTGTGAGGTTTCAAAAACCCCGCTCAACAAGGCTTTTGAGCCACCCAAGGACGATTATCCTACCTATCCAACAAGCCCCAGCCCCAGCCCTGGCCCTGTGACTAAAGTCCCATCCTTTTCCCTATCTTTACCCTGGGTTACTCCGTCACCTAAGTCGTATTCAAGACCAGTACCATTGCCGAATGGGACACAATCTCCAGAAACTATTTCGGAAATCCCCTCAGAGACCCTATCAGAGGTGCCTTCAGAATACCCTTTGGAAACGCCCTACCCGGTGAACATAACTTCGGGAACCCCCCCGCCACAAATTACGCCTTCGGAGACGACTCCTTCAAATGGGACAACTTCCCCGACCGATATTATATCCTACTCAACTTCAACGGTGTATGCAACAACCAAAGTTACTATTACCCACTGTCCTCCGGAGGTTCCTTCATGTCCTGCTGGTTCCACCAAAATTGTCACTTCCACTGTCGCTATCTCAACTACAATTTGCCCAGTGACTATCACGCAAACATCGCCTGGTCCAATTGCTACAAATCCAAACCCCGGATACCCAACGCCATCAAATACAAGTTCCTCAATCTCTGTCTCTCCAGTTTCAGATACTACTTACCCCGTTGACATTCCAATTCCAACTCCTTCTACTCCCTCTGCTTCTGTCTCTGGTACTACTTACCCAATTAACATCCAAATTCCTACCCCTTCTACCCCCCCGGGTTCGATCCCTGACCCTTCATATCCCGTTGGCCAATCTACAAGGACAGCTAATTTAAGTATTCTACCCGTCTCCAAAACCTCTCTACCAGGCGTTTCTGTAACTAATATGTAAGTCTAACCTCTCCGTGGGATGTATTTTGCATCCCCGCGAAAAGTGGAATTAAAGGACACAGGCTAATGAAAACCTATAGTACAAATATCACTGTCACTAACTACCCAGTTATAAACACTATCATCTCGGGTACCTCTGAAATAATAATTACTACTTCAACGCTTTCTACCATTACAGTAACGACCACCGGCACTGTATGCCCAGGATGCGCTATTCCTACCTCCCCCGGCTTGCCTGATACTTACTATGTAACACCTTCCCCTCCTGCAACCCCCATCACTGGCCCATATCCATCGTCGGCTCTGCCTGTTACCAATTCACCTATCCCTTCGCCTTCCGGGATACCTACCGTTGTTCGAACTGAAGCGCCATGTCCAAATATAGTGCCGCGGTGTCTAAACACCTGGCTCTATAAGGTTCCTAAATGTTCTTCGAACAGTGAAACCAGTTGCTTCTGCCCTTCCCCCGACTTCACATCATTAGTGATTGAATGTATCCAGTCTTGGGGTACGTCTAAGGCCGAAATCCAAACTGCTCTCTCCTATTTCACTGGTATCTGTGCTGCATATGTCCCCGAAAATCCTGGCATTGTCACAGCGATCCCATCGACAATTGACCTTACCCCGCAGCCGCCTCCGCCATCTACCGCTGCTCCAACCGATGACTCGTATCCCTTAACCACTGAACCTGCACCTGCACCTGCATATACCACATTCGCTGTCTCTCAAGTGATATCCGTGTCTGGCACAGGACCTACCACTGTCAGCTCAATGGTCACTGTGCCCCATGTACAGTTCATTACCGAAACTGTTGCTGGCCCAACCTATGCTGTCGATGTCGGGCTTGTTCCGGTAGCAACGGCTCTTCCCGTTAAGACCCCGGAAGAGAACCCACCCACATATGCCACGGACCAGGCCTCGGGCTTCACCACTGTGCCAGTTACGCCCACGTCTAGCCAATATATCGATCCCTTTACAGGAGCCGGTTTCTCACTATCGGTTCCATTTACCTTGTGGATGGTATCAGGCATTACCGTTGTTATGGGTCTCTTGCAGTAGCGGGATTTCAGTTCGCTTAAGTTCAAATTTATATCCTCCCCCCCTCTCTTTTTGACTTTATTCTTGAAATTTTTTCTTTGTCATATACACGATTGACTTGGTTGCATATGCTGCGGACTTTTACTTTTGTTAAACTCGTTTCCTTTATATATTCGTAAAACATATCAGCGTGTTTGGTTCATACATTGTTTCTTTTCTTTTAGACAGTATCCATGGTTTGAATTTCAGTTCATTTACCCTCTCTGTCATCTACATCTGGCTTCTATTGATAAAGAAAATTAGAATGGCATAACAAGGTCGTAATTAGAATTGAACTTTCATTCTGAACTTTTCTGTAGGTACTCCAACTGACATCGACTGGGGTTAAACAGCACAAGTAAGTCAATATATAAATCAAGCTCTATGGCATAAAACAAGCGCATTTATGAATGAAGCGAGAACAAGCATACGTAAGGAGTAACTACTTGGGGCTCTCCGGCATAAAAACATTTATTTCACCTGCAAGGCGGCTTGGATAGTTGCTCCCACCAATTTCTCTATGACTAGCTAGAGCATGGAAAGCCATTCAATCATCCAAAACGGGCCAGTGTTAGCATGGTTAGAGTAAAAGTGTGCCAATTAGTTATTGCGGTTCTGCTACACGGTCTTCGGATAGTCGACAGAAAGAAGAAATAAGAGTCTCCCATATTCTCCTGCATTTAGCATGTCAACCTCTCTCTGAAAGGGGATATATTGAAATTAAACATAGCAATGACATCATTTTAATCACAATAACTGGAGTTGGCTGCGGAAAGGAGAGTGATATCATGACGACTTACCAGGAAAAGCGTTGATATTAGGCAGTTGAGTGCCATCGGAATGTTGGGAAACTGGGCAGAAACAGACTTAACTGTCTAAGTATGATTGGAGAGACCCCTGACCCTTACTCGAGATAATTTTAGTCCAACCATCGAGGAAATAGAATGAAATTTTGTGAGAGTAATATCTGTACACCTTTAATAGGGTTTATTAGGACAACTTTTGTAAACCATAAATTAATCATGACCACTACTTTAACCATAGGAGATTGATTGCCTTAAAGAGTAAGTCATGCTGAGAGGCTGACGAGAAAGCAAATGAAGCCCCTGCTGCAATATCTTAACATTAATAGGAACATTTACATATGTGGAACTATTATACATAAACAACATCCTTGCGTTAACAGTCAAGGGCTGAAACACTAAATAAATACAATATTCAGAATCACAGACTTGAACGCATTTCATTCCAATCATCACGTCGAGTTTTCATGTAAAATTCGCAGGGCAATTGCACCGTTTAATGCATGATAGCACGTCTCATTCACCCGAACACCCAAGGTTCTTACTTCAATTCTTTCTCTCCCGGGTGCACCGGGAGGTGTTCTGGGGTCAACAAATGCCGTATGTGGAACCCTCTTTCCCTTAACATCCTTTGAATCCGAGCACTTCAGCAACAGCCTCTCGTCATTTGCCATGCCTGACCAGTAATACTATTGCTGGCTCTCCTTATGCTTGAAACCAGAGGTTTCTCCCGTCCAGTTGGGTTACCGATGTTCAATGCCTACTATATCCTCGTCGCGCACTGAAGTTGCCGCTGCAAAGGTGAGAGGAGTGACTTGAACTAGCTCATTTAATGCTCGCCATACGTTGGTAATTCGATAATGAGCGCTGAGCGACTGCTCCGCTTCCTCTGGGAGGTAGTGTCCAACCCGTTCCACAGCTACGGCAGGAGTCTGGTCTATATGCGCTCTGAAGACAGGTGCACGTTCAGCGCCTGGGTTGGTGCGGCGAATTGTGTGATCAAAGATGAAAACACGATGTGCGCCAGGGACTTTTTCAAGAATCAGCTTCTCCACTTCTGGGTAGTAGACCGATTTCACATTCTCTTCGTCTGAAAAAGAAGGCTCCGCTGCAGACGAGATGATTTGAAAGACTTGGAAAGCGTCGTGATCAAGGGTGACCTGGGATTCACAATTTCGAAAATGTCTTTAACGGGACTTTGTGTCCAGCATTGCCATACTTGGTTTTCGGGACGACTAGAGCAGGATTCTCGACAAAATTGTACCATCACTTGGGGGTTCGTAGAAGGACATGTTCAATTGAGCGGGCTTATTGTAGCGTGGCTCATAATCCGGCAGCCTGGGATCAAAGACTGAAAGACGGCCATTATCTTCGTTGCAATGTGAATACTTTTATGAAAGACCGGATTTTCGGAACTAGATTATATCACGTGATATATTCATTCACGAGGTTCCACTCAACCATCTGCCTCATTTCAACAACACGATATCGTCTTCTGTACCACTTCACCATCCCCGATATAATATATACAGGCCTCTCCATTCATAATTCTATCATTCATTGCATAAGAGCATTCCTGTTAACACTTCTATCCAACCGCGACGGCAACGCCCATTGTCACGAACATTTTGGGGCCAGAGAGAACCGTAGGCGTGCATTGTGTTCTGGCATTCGCAGTCTTCTTCCTCCTGCTTCACCACTTTAACAACATAAAAATATCCTTTCAATATCCGTCATCAGATAACCAAATGCCCCACTACCTATATTCATATCCTTGAAGAACCGTTAGCGGCCACCCGAGCTACCTTTGGTGTAGCAACAGAACAGACCCTGAACCGACAACAGCGCAGCGTCATCTGCTCCCACAAGAATTGCAGATTCAGCCTTATCTCGAGCTGATACCCATAAACCTCTCTCACCTACCCCAGACTCATACCACCACTTTCAGTTCTTATCGGTGTCAGACTGTTCTTACTCCTCTCTCTCTCTCTGTGCTAAGCAACGAAGCTGCCAGCTCAAAAGGCGTGTCAAACCACACAGGTATGTTTGTCTTGTTTGTCTGAACTTTAACTATACTCAACTTAATCGGCAAAGCTACTGCATGCGGCTGTTGCACTCTCAAATCCCTTTTCTATAACTTTCATTACCTCTCATGACTAGTCCTTATTTTCTAACCCTCTTATATTCATAGATTATTTATCGCCCGGATTGTTTAACCTCGGACAAAGAACCGTTGCATTTGGATCCAACCATCCATCGCATCATTTCGCCAGCCACAATCGACAGGTGAAGCGGCCGTGGAACAATAACATCATAATTTTGTGCTGAATTTGGTCTCCTGCGTTTGAATCATTCGATCGAATTTATTCCTGCTATTGCGTGCCTTCTGTTTTAGGTTGAACATTATTCAATTAGTTGACTTGTGCTGTGGGAATTTCTTTTCGCGTACAGGCGTTGAGTTTCGGGATCCTCTTCTTGATTGCATCGTTGATGAACCTCGTCATCTCATTACTTCGCCCATCATACCAACCACATAGCCTTGCGTTTGAGCACTAGCACACCAATGGCGTACTCTCCACCGCCTGTTTCGCCAAATATGACTGCAGGTCCATCCCATGGCTTGGGTGGAGCCCAGTCTCACAGAATGACTTCCAACGCTCGAAATCGTTCTAGGTCTCCCCCGGCTAACCCTCAGCCTGTTTCCAAGCGTGATAAAAGGCGAAGTGCTCTCCAGGATCGGGTGCAAGATCTCACAGAAACATTCAGCAATGAACGTGACTACCATTTTCGCAAACAAGTTCACGATCTTCAAACCGAGATGACCCTGATTTCCAACTCCCAACTATATGACACTGAGCCGTTGAGCGACTCGCCAGAAACTATTTCAAAGCTTGTTGAGCAACTGTCTGCAGCGGGCCATCTAGTGCCAGAAACGATCCCTTCGGGAAAATGGTATGCAAATTTTGTGCAGGAAATGAATCAAACGAAAGAAGAGCGAGATTTAGAACTCGCCACCTTAATGGTAAGCTGATCCATCCCGCACGTCCCGATTCTTGCTTCAGCTCTTGACCTGATCATTTCTCCGTAGAATCGCCATCGCGACCAATTTTCACGCATTAAACGAGAACATGACTTCAAAATCCAGTTTGCACACCAGGAATGCACAAAACTTGGGGAGACGATTAGGGAACGAGTGGTTATGTCAATTTCCCAGAAGAAAAATCGACTGATGAAGGAGAAGGAACAACTAGACCTTGCAGATACCAACGCGCTACTCCTCCATCCAAATCAATTTTCAATTGCAAATCCCGCAAGCCCTGGAGGGCTTCAAACTAATAGAAAGACTAGGCACACGCGCCATAGAGTTGATGTAGATGACATGGGGAATGGAATTGGCTCTGAGCCAACCAATAAAAGGAAACGAAAAGGCATAGTCGATGATGACTTCGATTCTCCCGCGAGAGATGGGGGTATGTTAACACCGGCAGACCGAACAAAGGTGCGGATGAGTCAACACCAAAACGCCGCAAGTTACCACATATCCTCTCTATTCACGGAGAAGGAATTGGCAATGCACAGTAACAGCGCCCACGTCGCCGCTCTCCATTTTCTCGCTGCCTCCAAAAGGGCTAAGCAGCAAGCCTCAACCCCGGCGACGAACGGTCAAAATGCTGACGGCGGCGATGATCTAGCTGGCTCCGGCGACGGGAGTGGACAAGAAGACACAAGCGCCGCGCCCGAAATGGAACGAACAGCTAGCCAGGGCTATCACGCTACGCGTTCGACACGTAACACGGGCGCTGGTACTTCTGGCTTGACACTGCTCGGCGAACTTGCAGACAAAACAGCCACACGGCCCAACCTGCCCTATTTCATTCTAGGAAATTACCACGCACGGCCCAACGGTTCCGGGTCTGCACCGCCGCCACCACCGCTCATGCCGGAGGAGATCGAGGACGATCTAGCCCGTATCGAGAAACTAGCGAGCAAGCCTCAGGGATGGATCGACACTCGCTTGGTCAATGAGCTTGTCGAGGCGACCCATGAGCATGATCAGGATCATGACAAGATTGTTGACGGGTTTTTCCTTGAGAGTTCGGAGAGGTTTGGTTCGCTGCACCCTGATTTCCCGCCGGAGATGGATGTGCATTTGGTTCGTCTGTATCCCCGCAAAGAAACATGAGGCTGCAAAATTTGCCTTTTTCGGTGATTGGATTTGGGCTTTGGCTGCGTGACGGGTTTCAAAACTTTGACAGGACAAGTACATATGACCGTGTAATACAGCGTAGGCGTGTTTTGTGTGTTTTGATGTGGTTTGACTTGGAGCGCTATGTGAGGACCGGGTTTTTTACCTGATGTTGCAGCAGTTCGGATTTTTCTTTCTCCTTGAGCATCGATGGAAGTCGTTGGTTTTCTTCTTCCACTCTTTTGAGTATACATAAAGGCGCCTTTAAGGTACATTTTTTTTTAATTTTTTTTATTTTATTTCTAATTGTTTAAATAGACATTATCACATGCTTGATGTTAATTTTGCGTTAAGACTCTCCTCTGGCCTGGAAGTGATTCAACGTGAGAAACTTTATCTTTGAACCAAAGGACTATGCAGCAACTTTATTCCCTATATAAAATATACGAGTTGGATGTTTACGGCAGTTAAAGAGCCTTGTCTACATAGTAAATTTCTTTTGATTTTTTAAATAGGTTAAATTGTTATATTGCATCTATGGTTTACATCTCAACTCGGGGATGATGGTTTTTCAATTGCGATTGCTTATGGTGATTACAGGTAAATGACAAGAGAGGAACAGAATTCCACAATTGCATGAAGAATAAATACGTGCAATAGCTCACGATCATCAAAGACAACTTCAAAGTCAATAACTCTAACGGAGTGCTACTTCATACAAATAAAAGAAACAAATTAAAGGATTGAATTCAAACAAGTTGAAAATCTCAATACTTTTTTTTTTTTTTTTTTTTTTTTTTTGAACTCTGATCTCTACTAATAATCTCTTCGATTTCAATCAACCGTTTTTTATTATAGCCACGGATCATTCGTCTTTATCCCCATACTACGCTAACTAACTACGGCTCATGCCAGCTGAATTATGCAAGCAGAATAAATAAACGCTAGTTTTTGTGGCGTTTTTCGGTTGGATATTTTTGGGTGGCGGTGGTCTCTTCGGCAAGGCAAAGGGAGCTCGCCCGGCCGCCGCCGTTTGACTATTTCATAACCCTACCACATCCCGAAACTTTATCTCTACAATTTCATTATCGGCATATATGATCAGGGCCAAAGACAATTCCAGACCATTCAAATTCGCCTTTCACATGCCAAGGGCTATTTTCTACCAACAAACAAAATAGAAAAACATAGAAAGTAAATATGTGAAGAAATACAATACAATAGTTTATTCTTTTTTTTTTTTTATTAAAAAAAAACCCCTCCTGAATATGAACAAACATGTTATATAGAGATAGATGAATATATCGACTCAAAGAAAAATAAGAGAGGGGCAGGGAAGAAGAGCTCAAACACTAAGCAGAAATATCTCAAATTTTTTAAGGGGGGAAACTTTTCGCTGCAACCAGCTATTGTATTTCCGCCCAGATATTCCCTTTCTTCTATTGCATATTTCCAGCATGTTCTTCGCCCCCCTCCTCGTCTTACATGGTCCATTAACCCAACATGTTGCCATATCTTCCGTCATTTAAATATAACCCACCCCCATTTAACGCCTTATTGCGATCTGCGAATAACAAATACGCCAACTTCCAAACTTGGCCCAAGATCCGTACCATTGGCAGTAGACCTACTCCGAAGTCCCTGAAAAAGCATTTGTAAAAGAGACGGGCACGGCATATCCCTATTCGACGACTTCTGGTTTCCTGAAGAGGTTATGTGGTTGGATGGAATTTTATAGCCAGTCCGCCAGTGACCATTCAAGATCGCCCTTGCCCGTGGCGTCTCTTGCTGAATGTACCATTCAATCCACGACTTGCTATCCATACGAATCTCTCCCTTTCTTCCGTATATCATGTTGAAAGATGATCCACGATTCGAAGAGGTTGGCACACTATCCAGTGTAGGCTTTCGTTGGCTTAGATTTTGGCATAGCCGCAAAATGTTGTTTTGCATTGTTTCGAAATCCTCCATTTCGGATATGGCGGGCATACACCCTAGAAGTTTTCCAGTATCTGCGGAAAGTTCGTTGACGACCACCATTTGACGTAGAAGGGGTTCAAGGATGGGACCGAGGTAGTGGTTTTTGAAGGTATGAGCGCCTGCCCTAGTTGGATATATCAGTACGAGACTGCCTCCTTGAGGGGACAGTTCACGGAGGCGATCGACGAGGACGGATGGACCAGTGGCTGAGAAAAGATCCCGATATTCTCTCGGTGAAGGCGGAGGAAGATAACGTTCCACTATGGAGATGTGGACACTATATGGAGGAACAATTGGTGTGGGTGTGCGCATCGTCCCTGAAGGTAAATTTTCCCAAGCGGAGTCATGGTATGAATATGCTGAAACAGGAACACCACTGGAAAATACTGTTAAATTGAAGTAGTCGTCGCCTGGAGAAAACCGGTTTGGAGTACTAGGAGGAGATGTTGGTAGGTTATTTAGGCTGAATTTTGGAGGCATTGCATGGATTATGTTGATATACGGAGACTGTTCTGGTTGGAGCCTATACTGGATTTCTTCAACAATGGAGCCAAAGGCGGAACCAGGAGAGGAGTTTATAGATTGATCGGTAGGTGGACATGGAAGAGTTTGCGAAACCATTTGTACGGCTTGGCCAGGAGTTTTTGAAATGTGGAGGGCAGACACTTGTTTCAACATCAGTATCAAATATTCGATATCTAGTATAGAACTGCACAGTTCGAAAAAGAAAAGGTAGGGGAGGTAGGTCCGAGTGAACATACCAACGAGGTTAATTCCATGTTTAAGCCATGATTTCGGATCGTCGTTGGCGAGTAAGTGATTCTCCATGGGCGGTTGAACACTCCCATTCGATCCCACACTCTGTGCAGTCGACTCTGGAGCTTGAGGGTCATTCCCATTTGGCGAAGGAGAGTACATGCTGGTGAAATTGTCGAATTGCGATGGTATATACTGAGTACTCGATTTTATATCACAGATAGCACTATCCGAGTCTGAATTCCACTTGACAGCACCAATTTCTGCTGGGGGTGTGGGAGGGAAAGCGAGTGTTGGATCGAATCGGTGAGATAACGGGTTTTCAGGCGACGCGTTGGAGAACAGAGGAGGACAAGTAGCAATGGAAGAAGAGAAATCACATACGGCAAGCGGAGGACGTCCAGAATTCAGGGTCGAAGCTACTGAAACGGATGCTTGGGAAGAAGCTGTAATGCCTAGGGATTCGAACGGTGGTAGCTGCAGATTGGGATTTTGCCGCGATAGTAATCTCATCATGGACGATGATTCAGATTGCAAGGACTCGCACGATGAGCTACGTTTCGAAGCCCTGGAGATTGGTCGGGATGTGTAGGGTGGAATGTGTGTTCTATCACTCTGGCTGGTCTTCCGTGGATGGGCATCTGGCGAGAACCATCGCTGCACTGCAATAGAGTCCGGTATTTCCGTTGATAACGAATTGTCGGAGTGGTCGGGGCAACATAACTCATCAAAAGGAAATAATCGAGAAGCACCGTTCCTAAGGTCCTTTTCCGGAGACTCCATGACTACGTGGTGATCCGCTGACAAGCCTGGCTCATTCCCGCGGTTGGTGTGCATTCACAAGAGAATGGTTAATTAGATGTAAACGCAGCGAAATTTGGCCTTCACGGGGATCCGTTCAAAAAGTGGTTTGAAAAGTCGAAACAGCCTTGGCGTCGAACACCCAAATCGATAAAAGAAGGGCGGCTGTTGGATGCGCACCTGCTGTGCTGAATGGATATATATAATATGGCCTAAAACTCCAGGTGTATCGCCAAAGAGCCGGAAATGAAAGTTGTGCAACGCGAGCAAAGAGACTAGATCCACCAAAGGGTCTAAGTGCACGAAAGAGGCTGGCAGGATGGGGAGCTACCCAGTCTGCCTGAGAAATTGAAGAGAAATCGTAGCTTGGATGGATGGATCCTGGAGCAGTGATGCGGAAGAGCTAGAGAAGCAAGGGTAGAATTCAAGAGCAAGCTATAAATGAGGGTTAGGAATATGGCGCATAGAGAGGGTTGGTGGTGTTTAAGATAGAACAATCGAAAGCTAGAATGTGAATCCGAAAGAATACAAAAATGAAACGGAGAGAGAAAAGTGAAGAAAATGAAAAAGAAGTTGAAGTTTGAGGTTGGAATGAAGATGGAGATGAAGATGTACCTGGGGATGAATGATAATAATATGGAGAAGACAGAATGCGGCAAGTGCAGTGGAGATCAACGGGACGGATATGGCTGGGCTCGGTACGGTACGGAACGGAACGGTACAGTATGTATGTAATTACAGATAATACAGGAGGCAGAAATTTAGGGAGTACATAGGGCGGGCAGAAAGGGACGGAACGGTCTTTGGAAGTTCTCGTGATATCAGGGTAATAATGTACGAGGTGGGTGTTACTACGTATTTAGGTATTGTATGTAAGTTGTTGGTATTTGTAGCTAAGAATAACATCACCAAGTCTGCTTTTCTGACACTGACTGTTTCCTCAGGAAGTCTTGGAGAGCGATGCTATTTCTGCACACGCGGACACCATTTAGCAGCCATCACAGACCCACGAGTCACAACCCTTGCATCCACAACTGGGAAATTCTCCCGGGGCAGCCCGATCAAATAAAATAATAATAATTAGTAGAACCTGTCCAGAGTCCCCCTGCTAGAAAGCAAAGACCTGAGACCTGACAAAGTAACCAGCAACTAACCTTATTATATAAGCAGTATTATCAGTGAGAATATGATAATTGCATTTTATTTTATTCAATTAATATATATTTTTACAATTATAATTAAATTATTCTTTAATTTTTTAATATAATATAATTTTTTATTTTATATTTATAATAATATATATTTTTTAATTTAATTTAATATTTTTAAATACAAAAAATAAAATTATTAAAAAATATAAAATATAATTATAATATTTAAATATAAAATATATTTAATAATATTTTTTTAATAAAATATTTATTAATTTATATGAAATTATAAAAAGTAATTAAAAGTTTATTATATTTTAAATTTTTAAATATTAATATTAATATATAAAATTTAATTTATTAATTATAAATATAATAATAATAATAATAATAATAATAATAATAATAATAATAATATAATATTTTAATATTTTTTTAATAATTAAATTATATAAAATTATATAAAATTAATTTTAATTAATAAATTTTTATATTTAATTAATTATAACTTATTATATATTATAATATATATTTATTAAATATTTAATATTATATTTATATTATTATAAAATTTACTATTATATTAAATTTCAAAAATTAATAATATTAATATTTTTTTATTTTATTTATAAAAGTTTTAGTTTATCACTATTTTAAGTATTATTATTAAGTTTAAAAATATTAAATAATAATAATAATATAATAATAACCCTCAATGGGCCAATAAAACACCGTTCTTTGTAATATATACTGAATGTTTATTGCGTGTGTAGGGTGTGTGTGTGTGTGTAATGTCTCGATCGCGGCGTCAATAACTCTATAAGAGACCAGTCTAGATCTCTATCGCCCAGAAACACCAAATTGACACTGTCACACGTTTCGCTTGATACACAGATTCTCCAGCCAATAATCCATGGATACGATACAGACATCCAGCAACACATTTGCATCCATCGCCACAAAAAACAGAGCAGAAAGGAGCCCTACGGATTGTTTAGTACGGAGTAGTGCGGATATCAACCATTGGAAACAATGCCGAAGCGAAAAATAGGAATAATATGCTCTGAAAGAGTGGGAATAAACCAACCACATGGCGGTCCAGAGAAGGCTGTCAAATGCTGTGTTATTTAAACTCTACATATATATATGTATATTTACATACATTGTTAACGGGCTGTGCGGGAGCCAGTTGTTGGTTGAGGGGTCCCGTTGGTCAATCGTCCGATGCCCTGTTTCGGACTTTGTTGATCCAACCAAATGCAGCTCGAAGAACAAGAAAATGATAAAAGAAAAGAGAAACGGAAGAAGAAGAAGAAGAAGAAGAGCAAAGGAAAGGAAAACTAACCGGAGAGTACTATCGCCTGTTATAATCAACCGAAGATAATGATAAAATCAACCCTGGAAAAGGCAGCCATCGTGTTTCTCTGCTTTTTCTTTTCCTGTCTGTTCGTTTTGACTTTTTAAAAATTTAAAAATTCGAACGTCGCAACCTAAGCCCTTGGACTCGCTGAATTCAAAAATGAGAGAGAGCTTAACGTTATGGGTGCAGTTTCAAAACCACTAATTCAACCCGTCGGCCTCATGGATCACCCGTCACTACCTCCGTAGTCATGCCCAATAAACTTGCATCCACAGAGATGTTCGACGAAATGGCCAAATGGGTATTAGCCCGGGTGAGACGGACCGCTCTCGTGCATGTTTCATGGAGAATGCCTGTTCACTCTCTTCCCGCAGATCCTTGGCCGCAACATCGGCCGGTCTGGGGGATGTTAGGGGAACGAGGAAAACCACGACCCCGTCGTCTAGTTCGCGATGAGCTGGCGATTGTCACGGCTGCTGGGATATTCAACACCTCTCTCATTATATTAGTTGAAGGGAATGTTAGAGATTTGCCGTTAATCATTAAATCTGATGAGACACTTTTCAGGAAGAAGAAGATTAAACCTGAACTGCTAGCAATAAAAACAAGTTGGCACAGTTGCGGAGCACTCAAAACCAATTCAAGCACGCTCTGATGATCTATCACCGCCATCACCTGCGGGTCGCTGCTTAGCGGTTCTAGCCTGGGTAGGTGAGGTATTGTCTTTTCGTTTAGGTCAGGGAATTTTGTTATTTAACCCTTTGCGCTGTACTGCTGGACGGGCTACTCCGTACTAATCAGCTTGATCAACCTTCGACATCTTGAGTTCCTCTCTTATTGTGTGGGTCTCCTGGTAGTTAATGCTATGGGCATTTGAGTTCGTGCAAAAACAAAGTTAGAAAAATTAGCATGAGCGCTTTGTTGACGCCGAATCAAAACCAGCCTGAGACGGACGGAGTTTAATTGGCAAAAGGGCAAAAAAAGAAACTTATTGCACCATCGAGAATTCTAGAGCGTGCGAAGCAGAATGTCGGGATGGTTGGTCTGGCCTGTAAGAAACAAAAAGAAGAAAAAGAAAAGAAAAAAAAAACGGTTAAATGGGAGCAAAATCGAGATGTTACCCATTAATACTTGACATTCGAGCGACCCAACTGAGCTTAATAGATTTAAAAAGGGGTTGTGATCCATTCGGCGGGATCCATTCCAATGACTCCACGGTACGAGTAGAAAAGATATATGGGGCTGAGGGGCAGTGAGCACGAGCAGTGAGGGCAACTTAAACCCCAGTAGCTCCGCCATTCGCCTCGCAGTTCGACAGAACAAACCCGTACAGTGGGTGATACGACGGGCATTATTTATTTATTTATTGTTTCATCATTCCAACAAATTCTATGAATGTTTGGGATTGCCAACTTGGGAGTATCCGAAAATGAACTTTTGTCTATGGACTTGGGATTTGCTGGACCAGATGTTAATCTTTGCGAGTCAAATCTCGCGTGTCAAATGGTTATGTAAAACATGGCTCCAGGTTAACTAGTATTTCAGTTTCTAGAGTGGGGTCGGCCGTCAAAAGATACAAAAATTTCGCCTTCCTATGGAAAACGGAAACATGGGTTCTGAATTGGCCCGCAGGCTACGCTGGTATCAGAAACGCGGAATATATTGACGATATGTATGTGTTTTGAAGAAACGTTTAAACCCGGATGACACTGGGATTGATGTTCATTAGAGCTATAACTGTTTTTCTAGCATTTCCTTCGAATATTTCAAATATCCATGGATCAGACCAGTGTACACAGCAGAAATACAGAGCGTTTCTAGTTTGTTTCCGGAGTATGTCACTGTTTCGTATTTGCCTCAGAAGATGGCCCGAAGGACACGACACATGCAGTAAACCTACGTTTCTAGCAAATTGTGGTGAACAGTTAACAGAGAATCTTGTACATACGACGTATGGACGTTGTAAGAGATCAGAGTGAATGGGGATTGCTCGTGGATTTCTCAGACATTGGCTCAACTCCCTCTATGACAAACATAGCCGTTCACCGACAACATCAACATTCATCTTAAGACTTGAAAGGGATCTGTTAATAAGATTTAAAGATCCAAGGGGTTTGCGGGCGGGATCTGAGAAATCTGGCCGCTGCAACTCGTTTGAAGTTGTGGAACAAATCGTTTTGGAGAGGTGCACGGGGGCTTCATCTTTTAGATGACTGAAATGTCAATGTAAGTGACCTTGCCGCATCTTTGATTAAACCTGAAAATGCCCTTTTGAATCGCAATCAACCATATCTTAAGTAACTGTTATTCGCTATGTCGGAACGGGAAATTTAGCGCAACCTCGAGATCCATGCATCTCGTATTGGAGGACAAGGGATATAAAACGAAAGATTATTATCTAGTAAAGACGAAGGAGGGATATGGGTTGTGCATGAGGACAATGCGTATGCAGGAGTCAGCTCTAACAGATATTTCCGAGAGTTAAAGCAAGAGGGATATAGATGAGTAAGAATGTCGAACAGATACGGCAAGGAAAAGTGCTCAGATCTCCGTTCCTGGCAAGGATCTATCTGTTCAAGGCTCCTTTATCCACAAAAATGGCGGGTTTCAAGAACAAGCCTTCAGGAGCTGCTCCTTTATCATCCCTTGGAAGTCCTGGTTCGCGTCAGCCAAAGGAAAGAAAAGGAAGGAAAGAAAGCATGGGAAAACAAAAAAAAGCACAGTATCACGGTGGAAGAGCCAAGGGCAGTTTCCCAGAGGCAAATGTATGCTCTGGCCATCACAATGTCGGCACTGTTCTCCGAATACACATCTGCAGCGGGGGAAACTAATGAGGTAACTACCGCTAGGCTACAAACGAAACTGCAGCTGTTCGAGTGGTTAGGAGTAGCTAGTTCATCCGTGCAGCGTAACTCGCAGTGCTACTAATGCACAGGTCTCGTCATGGATCAGGATGGTGGATGTGGATGTGGCTGCGGACTGCGGACTGCGGCCCACAATGATGGACCGTGGTGACCCGGTGACTTGTATTTCATGTTGGGCAGGCGGCTCGTATCTGGTTTCGAGCACTCTAGAACCCCCATAACCCATATGGAATCGATGGATAACGGCGTATCTCCGGTGCTTCAAGGAAGGCTGTGAACTGTACTCCGTAAGCCCCCAACAGTTTTGAGTTCGCCTTCCACAGGGATTTCCATGTTGTTCATCTAGGATAGTTGCCTCATGGCGAAAGGCTATACAATTTTGAGATGCTGATGATCAATGATCGATGACTTGAACTAAATTTGTATGCAGTGTGGAGAACACCGAGATAATAAATTACCGCGCCCAAAAGCCACTCGGCAGTCGCCAGAAGAGAGGGAGTTGTGAATCATAGTGCAAGACAAATAAAACTCAAAGACGAAACCATGAGTCGAGATCGACAATGGAATTGGTAGGCCGGCTCGCCCTGTCACCTGGGCCTCCTTTGCCTTTTTGATTAATTAACGAGTTCTTCTTTTTGGGTGGAGTAGTTCGCGCAACAATGATACAGACAGAATCAGCCAATAGCGGGCTATGTCTGTTCATTCTTCACCCCAGCCACAGAAAACTCCGTTGGTTATCTTGACATCAATCAGGCGGGATAAAGGCAGGTGATTCGTTCGATAAAGAAAAAGGAATGTATGATAAGTAATAATTAATGGAATGTCGCTGGGGCGAGAAGTATTCGATTCAAAGAGGCGCGCTCGTGTGGGCCGTTGGAGTTTAATATTTGTCATACCATGGGCAGCCAAATCCTCTGTTTAACTCGGCTCTGAATGGGAGGAGGATTAGCTATCGAAAAGAGCGGAAGCGCGAAACGGTGATCACTATCACGATTCATTTTCTACTCTATTTTGAACAGGCTTCCATGCGAAACGGAGAAAAGTTCCTGAGATTGGCATCGTCTTTATTTTCCTCTTTTCGATTGGCCATGTTATGCAGGGCAACTAACGTTATCGGTCTAGTTCTCGGATGGGGGTGTGGGTAATTAGGTGTGATACAGATAACCATCCAGTCTCGGTTGTAATCGACCGTCATTCCCCTCGCATTTTTCACCAATCTAAGCATACGCCTGTGGCAGCTCTATGTCGAAGCGAAATATACCTTGTATATGCTTTGGAAAATACGATGTCCCTTCAACGTAACTACGGGAAGGATACACTCAAGTTTCCATCCCAGCTCGAGGGGGTTAAGAGCATCGAGAACAATCTGGATATAACGGCAGCAACTTGAACTGGAACCGGCAACAAACCAGCAATATTATAACGAGTTACAGAGTACTAGCGCACGCTTCTCCTCTATAAACAGGCAATATTTGCTCCTTTCTTTTGCTAAGGAAAAAGCATTTGGTGTTGTCCGTTTCTTTGCTTTTTTTTTCCTCCACGATATTGCCCCTTTTATCAGAGGATCGGTACCAAGTTTATGATAGGTATCCAACTTTAAGGGGGGAAAAGGGGGATCTCATCGGCGGCACATCACGGTGAGATTTCGATCCGGAAGGCCATCCCAATAGCATTTGTGGCCGATTCACTCCTTACCGCCGCTGAAAAGTCGATCGATCAATGTCAGGAAGGCAGTGGTGAACGGAGCGGGTGATGAACGAAATTCTCAGCCGATGATTGCCTCGAGTTTACTCATGCAAATGGAAAATCATGTTTGGAAAAACTCAACTAGATATATGTGTTCATCAGTGTGATACGCTTCGACCCCGGCTAAATTCTGATCGGGTCCAACTGATTTTTACCTTATTCTTGTTGACCTCATCGATGACGACCTACTGGGACTGTGACTATTTGATCGACGCGGTACTCGGACCTCGCCTGCTTATGCTCTCTACATAATCTTGATCTCTCCAATCACTTTGTCAAACCACAGCGTCAGGACACCTCAGAGCTTCGTAACGTAGTGTCCTATCTCCTTGAGAATGCTCTATTGCTCAGTTAGAAAACTTCAGGGGTATTGAGCCCCATAATCGGAGACCCATTTCTTCTGAGACAAAAATCGACCATGAGTTCCCAGCTCATTTTCCGAGACCTTCCTGCTCCGGGCAACGTGCTGCTGGCCTCGCGGATGAAACAAATTGACTGATACATTTGCGCCTATACGTAATGCCCTACCAGTCACATGGAATACTCCAGGGGTCTTTCCACGTTTCCTCCTCCACGGATTCTTAGTACACACCAAACAAACATTTCTGCAGGGTCTGTGGACATTTTCCCCAACGTCGTGGATGAGAAATTCGAACTCAATGAGCCAATCGGATCCTGCACGGTGCATTCCGTGACATGGTAACCATGCGGGTGGCTTCCATAGCTTCACGGAGTTTAACCATGGTGACTCGCTCATATTTCCAGGAAAAGCTTCCATCCCCCAGGCACTTTAATGCTCGACAACTTGTTTGTACGCCACCAAATGCTCTCCCGCCTTGGATGTGCAACGTCACAACCAGTTCCGGGGTTCTCAGACATTCCACTTCAAATGATATTCAAAGCGTTAGTTAACAATATCAACCGGTCGGCTTCAGTGAGACTTGTACATCCATTTTGGCTTGTTTTCCTTGGTATATTGGGTTTTGCAGGATGTGATACCTTCGAGGTGCGAGAATTGCCCAGATTGACAACTGACAATGACAAAAGGTGAAACGCGACCAAGTCAATAGTTACATCTTGCAACAACACAGAGGCAGCTCTTATTCCTCAGTTTCAATGTTTGACGAGTGCTCAACTACCATCAAGGAGGGATTGTTTTCTTGGCAAAATAAACATTCATGAATTGCATGGTTTCCCTACGGCTGAGAATGATTCCCTGGCGAGGTGCATTTTTTTAAGATGGATCTCAAGCGTCCCAGCTGTAGATGCTGTTGATGTTGATCAAGCGACCCCCGAGTTCTAACTGTGAAGGAGTCTGTGGAATGCCAACTACATTTAATCCAAACGGGTGAAATGAAACAACTTTCTCCGTGTTAAACTACCCTGTGCCACGGGCCGCGACGGAAGCCAGAGAATTTTCATCTACAGTTCTCGTTACTATGAAAGCAGGCTAGAAACTATACAAAAGTCTTCAATGACGCTTTATATAGTCCTACTACTACTTCTTCCGATGTCGCCGACTGAACTGCTTCGGGTGCAAGCTAGTCAATTGAATGGTAAAATGCCGTACCTTCACCTGTACTTAATATATCTGGGACTTAATAAGATGCCAATGGATGGTCCAACTTTCAGTCAATGATATTGTGAATAATATCAGTTTTTTTGGGGGGGGATGCTAGGGAACATTTTATGCGTGGAAACAAGTTGCCTTCTTTACCTTCGAGATGTTCTGAGATTGTCCCTCGTCATGAGCTAGAATCAAGGGTGGATGTTTGCAATATCAAGTTCTCTCGAAGTTAGCTATCTGGTTGGCTGGGGCTATATTGAAGGGTGCCGATTAAACTGATTCTGATACAATATTAATACCTCAAGATATCAACATGACTTGTCTCCTCAACTCGTATTTCTTTCTACACCCTTTTCATTTTCTGTAAGTGTCCTATTTCTCTCTTTTAATTATAGTTGATTGCATATCTCACAGTCAGTCAAATTCTCCAGTCAATTCATTCAACGAAAGCTGCTGTTGCATATTCTTGTTTGGTTGCCCCTGCAACATGTCTTATGACATAGTTATCAACCCCTGCAGTGTGTATGTGTGTGTCTATACATCTCTTGTTATTCCCTCTCTATTCTTTCTTTAGTCTGCTCTCATGATAGTTACTCTATAACAATCTTTCTTGTTAATCACTTCTTCAAACTTTCATCTAGTGTCACAAACAACATTCCACAATGCAGATAAATATATCATTCTTCACTGTTTTAACAGTATATCTATTAATACTGCTAGCCAGCCATACCTTGGCAATTTCAAAATTATCTGCTCTCGGTTCAAAATTTTTCAATGAAGAGGGCCAGCAATTCTTTATCAAAGGTAAGTTTATCCCGCTCTTTATACATACTTTGAATCTATACAATGTCGAGAATGACATCAATACTGACTTTGGAGTGGAAAGGCATCGCGTACCAGCTTACTCCTCATGATCCACTAGTAGACACTGAGCAGTGCAAACTGGACTCTTCCTTGATGAAGGAATTGGGGGCAAATGCTATCCGTGTCTATCACGTCGACCCAACAGGTGACCATCACGGGTGTATGAAGGCGTTTGCCGATGCAGGGATATATCTATTCGTTGATTTGGACGACTTCCCCACCCAAATCACAGAGGTATGTACAATGCATCCATATGTGTTTCGTCCAAAATAAAGAAACAGGAGATATTTTGAAGGTCAAAAGCTGACAACCATCCTGTAATGATAGCGGGCTCCCACATGGAACGAGAACCAGTACAAAGCGTTTAAGTTAACCTTGGATGAATTTCAAAAGTACGATAATACGGCCGGGGTATTTGTGGGAAACGAAGTTCTTACTGTACCGGGTGACTCTGCTGTAGCTCCCTACATTCTCTCCGCAGCTCGAGATATCAAGGCCTATCGTGACTCCAAGAACTATCGGAAGATACCAGTCGGGTATTCCGCTGCTGATATTGAAGAGCTACGCCCCATGCTACAGAACTATCTAGTTTGCCGCCCAAAGGAGTCTGAAAGGTTGGACTTCTTTGCCCTCAACGCCTATGAATGGTGTGGTAAATCAACGTTCAATATTTCCGGCTACAACAACCTACAAGCCCAAGCAGAAGGCTACCCAGTCCCCATTTTCTTCTCAGAAACAGGCTGTAACACGGTCCGGCCACGCGAATTTGAGGACCTCTCTGCCATTCTTGGGCCCCAGATGACCGGAACGTGGTCTGGAGCGATGGTGTACGAGTGGATTCAAGAGATGAACAACTACGGCCTGATTACATATGGGAAACAACTCGATGGAGATGGATATACAGTCGACCCATCCGCGCTCGATGGCTTCTCCCGTCGTGGAACTCCCACCCCTGTTAATCCAGACTTCACAAATCTGAAATCCCGCTTCGCAAGCTTGTCACCTATAGGGACTTCATTGCCGGACTATTCCCGTTATATATCAGAAGTTACAGTGCCGCCTTGCCCACTCTCGACACCTAATGGCTGGGCCGTTGATCCCAGTTCTGATTTACCGTCTCGCGGAGAACTGGTAAGAACTCCTGGTGCTAGCACTAGACGTCCAACGTCAGGAGCAACGACATCTTCACCATCGTATCCCAATTCTGGGAACCAGCAGATGTTAGTCTTCAGATTGTGGAGTGATGGCACCTCGTTCTTCTATATGACGATTGGTTTGTTAGCTATTAGTGGAGTTATGGGATTTTGGATGTAGGTTGACAGCGGAATATGAATCACGATTGCGATATTTCATGCTGGCTTTGGGCTATTCTGTGCAAATAGTTTTCGTTTTATGAGAGCCAGGATTCAGGAGCAGCTTTCTAAAATTCATAGTAATGTGTGAACATCTGTTTTCTATGTAGATTGTTTATCTCCCATGAAGATTTTCACTAGATCAGATACCGTCCCCCAAGATCTTAATCAATTAGTTATTCATGAAGAATTTCAATTTTAACAGTGTGTTAAGCGTCTTCAGCGCAATAATATGGGGAGTTTATACCTCATTTACTCCCTGTATGATTCTAGCTAGAAGTTATCGCTGCGCAGATTGAGGGGTGTTTAGGGGGAATCATATTTTTATTCCGTACATTTGTCTCAAGCTAGCTACCGACTTCGCAATGACGGATATGAAATATGGTCATAGAGGATAAGGACAGCAACACAACAGTTACCAGATTTCTAGTTTGTGAGAGTGCATGACCCTCTCTTACATGACCCATAACTTAGGCCTCCTCCACCTCTAGGATACAAATGCCTCTTCTAAGAAGCAGAACACACATTGGAAACCTCTAGTGGAAAACATTCAGGTATTCTTGAAAGAAAAAATGTAGAAATAAACCTTGGGATACCACCGATAGATCAAATGGAGGAATCATCACATCGCTTTGTACGGTTACCTACAACGGATCAGATCTTCCAGCAGAACTCTCAGTGTTTCTGGGAATTGGTTCTTCGGGCTGCCATCGCAAACAAGTCCTCGAATACCAAACTACGGATAGCAAGTATGTGTTTAGGCCTCCCCCACTTGTTCCTGGTCTCTATCGTGGGTGAGAGCATGCAATATATATATATATATATATATATTTTGCTTGACCTATCCACACTCCAGCGATTTAACGCAACAACATCAGGGCCAGAGACATATGCAATAAGAAAGATAATGAATAGGCCACTCACAATAATAGGGCTAAAAAGGCCCATCGCCTGGTTGGCCATGATTCTTTCACAAGTGATGTGGTGGTACGACGAGCCTTCATCAATTTCATGGAAAGAATGCTGCCTCACCAATTCATCATGAGACTCATTTTGCTTCATGAGTTCCAGCAGCTTCTTTCATTTTTCTCATTGCCGTAATGGTGTCTCTCTTTAGCAGCAAGAACGTCGACTAGCCATTTCTCTGCTGCCGCTGCGGGATCCACGTTGCCCATTGATCTCGTAATTTGCCAAAGGCTTCAGCTAGCATTGTTTAAGAGAGGACATATCTTGCTAGAAATTCATAGAAACAACAAACTAGGGCGGGAAGTGATTTAAGTCCAACCTGCTCTTCGTTAATGCGGGTTTGTCATGATGTGAGAGGTGAAATGAAGGAGTAAAAATGACACATCTCTCAGAACTGACCCTTGAGTCAGAGAGGGAATTCACTATTTATGCAATGAATATACAAAGTAGAATTAAATACTGAGAAAGAACAGGATAAGGCACAAGCATATATACAGGCACAAATATTTCATGGCGCCAAAATATTCGTCTGGAGAGTAGAGGGATTTAAGGGGATAAGTGGGTATATTCAAACAGCTTCCATAGGATCTTCAACAGCTACTGCAAGCTAGCGTGTCCACAAATGCGCAAATATCCAAGCGCTACAGCACCTTTCGTAGCAAAGGAAAGACTAGAAAAGAGTAGAAAAAGTAGCGGAACAACATAACTTCGCCGCCCAGATTCACTTCCGGGGATGGTAATACGGCTACCTGATTGCTGACTGAGAAATGAGATCATCTGAAGCGCCAAAGGTCAAAACGCCACCAACGAGGGTGGAGGTATCATCGCTGTTGTGATTATCAAAAAGAAATAAAAGCTCGTAGCTTATTAAGTATGGAAACAATACCGTTGGCAGGTGGGAGCCAAAAGAGAAAATTTGTTTGGAGATGGAGAGAGGTTAAGTAGTAGAGCACAGGATGCGATAGAGAATTCAAAACATCCGTAATCCAAGGGAGCAATCCATTTAACCAATACTGTCCACGTCAATTCGCAAGTTGACGTTGAAGGTCGCGTTTCCGTTCCCTCCTCACATGCTCACCTACAATGATACTGAAAAGTCTCCTCAACAACTCTTCCTCGCTCCATTCGATCCTCCCGGTCCCACCACGCCTCCTGCTCCCAATGACTAAGTTCCGCCGGAACTTATCCACAATCGCAATCTGGGCCTCTGTAATCTGGCGGCTGTATGCACCATCAGCAGAATACATTCGCTTACCGAGCATTTCATTTCGCTCTGGGGTCTCAATATAGGGAAAGGAATCTGGAAATTGTTTGGCCTGATGGTAGAGGTGACGAAGAGCAACGTAGTGATCATTTGTGAAATAGCCAGAGATCGCCAATGCCTTTCGATATGAAGGTTGTCTTTTCATTTGCGGTTTGGGCTCCGTTTTTCGGGGGGAAGAGAACTGGGTTCCCACATCGACTGTTGATTTCTTGATGTGCTCTTGAAGACGCCGATGAACAAGAGGTTCTTGAACTGAGGGTTCGCTAGCTGGTGACGTTTGGACCGGTGATTCCCGAAGCGGCGATTCTTCATTTGGAGACAGTTGGACAGAGAAATTATGAGTTACAGGAGCGTATTTGTTAACGGGTTCATGATTTCTTCTTTCAGTTTTCCGAGATGACGGTGTCAGCCACTTTGGCGCCAGATCTGTCAATTTGTGGAACCACGAAGAGGGAGGAGCTGCCTCTTTGGTCCCTGGAGGGGTCTCTGGCTGAATAGCAGAATGGTTAGGATCAACCTGATCATATTGGGGCGCGCCAGGAGTGGAAGTTGGTGATCCTGATTCGGGGTGCATTTCCTCCTCCGCTTCCTCTGGCGCCTCTTCTTCTGGATCGTTTCTCGGTGAATTAACCGAAGCAGACAGGACTTCTGTATACGAAAGGTCGCTGTGCATTGGTTGGTTGGGATGTGTATCCACATCATCCAGGTTTATGTGTCCAGTATCAATCTTGTAGTCTTTGGGGGACGGTACCCAATGCAGATCACTGGTTCCAGCATCAGATTGTTGCCCTTCAGAATAGGATGTTTCGGTTCGTCTGCCGGGGGCAGAAGTGATAGGGCTGGAGACGGTTTCTCGTGCTTGTCGCTCTTTGAAAGGCTGTTCGTGCGGGGTGCCCACACTTTCAGGAGATTTATTATTCTCCTCGTAAAATCTCCTCGTGGAGCTCCCGGGGCTCCCCATTAAAGATGAAATCTCGTTGCTTTGCTCCCTGAATCTTGCCGTTTGAGTTTTCCCGCTGGGTAATATGGGATAGCCATTGTGACGGGCTTTCCAGTATGGCTCGAATTGAGGTGTTGTGTCTTCGTCCTGGCTAAGCTCGGCATCTTGACGCTGTTTCCAGGGGCTTGGAAGTAGCCACCGAGGTGGTTTGATAATTTCCTCTCGACTAAGTTCAAGGAGTGACTCTGGTTCTGAATGGCTGTCAGCATCGCGAGCTTCTTGTTGCCAAATATCTTCGTAGTCTTCCTGGTCTATCGAGTCATTTTCATAGCGCTCTTTCGGCTCTTCGATTACTGCAGGAGACTTTTCAGGACTTTCGTCGTCACTGTCAATGACAATTACCTGACTTGAATTCGCTTGTTGAATTTGACGACTAACGGCTTCTCTTTCAAGCTGCCACTCTGCTTCGCGTCTCGCCATTTCTGAGCTAATAGATTGTGGGGGCGACTGATTCTTATCGCCAGGAGTAGTGGCAAGTTGTGCAACCTTCACACCAAGTTCGCTGTTTGTGTGGCTCTTTGCTGGAGATGGAGATACACCTTGACTCCGGGAGCTGCCAATGTTTGGATAACCCACGTCATTGCTTCCACCAGCTTCAAAGGCATTTGAGTTCCTGTGTTTTTCAGTTGTTCGTTCTCGTTCTTGTTGCCTTCTTATATTTTTAGATTCTCGAAGGTGCTTCGCAAGCTCTTCTCCAAATCGAAGGCCAGCACGTAATTCTCTTTCAGTTTCAGCTCCCAGCCCTTGAAAGAGGGCCTCGACCCGCTGTCTTACAGCCTCGGGATCCTCAATTTTGTGTTGACTTGGGCTTGAAAAAGGAGTTTGTAATCTCGAATTCCTTCTCCGTCGATCAAGAACACCCTGAAGCGCAATTCCTGCTCTGACTACCCTTACTAGTTTTACAAGTCGTCTCTTCCGTAGAGGCTGGGCGGATTGTATGGCCGGAGCAGTGGGTTGGCGCGGTGATGAAAATCTCACTCCTGGTGTTTGCTCGAGTTCAAGTGGGCTTTTCTTCGCCTGTTGCACTAATTGGGACGTTGAATGGGGTTGATCAGAATAAAATACATGTCCGTTCGTAACCATACGTTCGCCAGACATTGATAACTTGACGTCCGTAGTTTCGGACTTCGATGCCCTTAGATCCACCTTTTTGGGCCCCATTTTCATGCTGTTAACCATATCTTGACTCACAGAACTTCGAAATGAATTGTTTAAATGTTGTCTTGCTGATGGTAGCGTATTAAGGGATACCATGCTAAAACCTTCACTTTCCAAAATGGAGTCAAATTCTCGATGATGTGTTGTTGGGTCACTTAAAGGTTGGAGAACTGGTTCGCTCTTTGTGTGTTCAGCACCTGAAGAATAATACGTCAGGTTTTCTCCAGCACCTTCACCTTCTTCCAATATAGAAGACGAAGTAGGAGTAGGGTATTCTCTTAATTGAGGACCTGGCGTATGCCCCGCATCGATTGTGTTTTCGGGTGAGAGGCCGGTTGGAATTCGGGAAGAAACTTGGGAGGGAGAAAAGCCCCTGTGATGATTGGGGATCGGGCTCATCTTTATAGATAGCAAATCAGTTATTTTTGACCTGCTGTTTTCATTCGGGGTGGGAGATGATCTATCATCACCGATTGAATCGGAGAACTCAGACTCTGAATATGAGTTAGAGATATCGGGAGGTATGTTATCGACCACATTATCGTTGGTACCGTTATCCATCACCGCTATGCCGAAAAATGGATCTGCTTCAGCCATCTTCTTTCGGACGGAATCGGCAAAGGTGAATTTGTTCGGCGAGGGACCTTCTTCAACAGAAGGCAGATTTTTCCGTGGTCTCCCTCTCGTTTTCTTTTCACCAGTATCAGTGTTGCCTGACGGGGCTTCAATTCTGCTTCTTCTTTTTCTAGGCGTTGGGACTCGCTGAGACACATTCGATTTGCCTGTACGCTGTTTTTTGGGACTTGGCTCCAGAGAATCATTTTCATCCTTCAGAGGTACCTTGGTCGTTCTTCCGCTTCTCCCAGATCTTGCGCCCGACCGCACACTGCCTAGGACATTTTCGTTTTCTTCATCTTGTTTCGCCTCGACAGTCACTCGGATTCTCCAGGGGCTTGCGTTATTAACAGAATGAAGAGTTGCTTTCTTAGTTGGGGATAGCCTATGCTTGCCAATGAAACGACCCGATGGAGTGGAAGGGAGGATTATATCTTGAAATTTGATAGATTGCGCGCTTCTGGGATCTAATTTGATAGGCGATTGACGCCTGGTAGGAGACCGGGATTTCCGCGGTGAAAAAGTGCTCTGGCGTCGAAAAAAGGGTTTTGTAGCAGAGGAGAGGATGTAATCAGGATTTCCGGGATATCCTAGCGGGTCAGGAGAAGAGGTATCACTCCTGGCATCCATTGCGACTTGTGCCTGGCGGAAGCTGACTGGCGCATATGGGGGGCTATCCAAGCGGGAAAAGGTGGTATAGTTTCCACGATTGAGAGTTGTGACAGATTCAGTATGTCCGGGTAACCACTCAGTCTGTCAGTCACAAATGCTATATGTCATGCATGACAAGGTCGGTCCAGTCAAATTGTACGGTGCAAAGGCGTCTCCATGGATATCATCGACAGCGTTGGCTTATGTATATGTCGATGTTATCGTCGCTGTTATCGACAAGCTTCGTCAAGTCACGGGTAGTTGTCTTTTGCCTATTCGGGAACTGGTCTGTGCGCTTTGTTTACGGCTCCCGGTTCTCGGCAATATGATAATCCGTGCCAACGCTAATGTACCAATAAGGACTAGTGTTGAGGTTCGGCCCATTATTCTTGGAGCCTCAAGGCTTGCCAAGCTTTGCTTAAAAGGTTTCGGCAGCCAATCATTTGGCTCCAAAGAATTTATGGTTGACTTTGACGTTTCACAGAATTGAACCTTAAACTTATACTTCGACTTCAACCTCCTTTTGAGTTGCAGTTGCAAGGCTTGTTTTTGTTGTTGTACTGTATATTCGATATCGGTCAAGGACTCGAAATAGAGGAGATGAAAGGCGGAGCTGTTCGTTGGATGATCTTGGTTTAGCGCCGCTGTATTGGATCCGGCAACGTACTTCCAACAAAGGAAGAGTCATCTGTTCTTTGAGCTGCATAGTTTTGGTTCATCCTGGGTTTTATTTCCAAGTTCCAAGTTCCAAGTTGCCCAAAAAGCAATGTCCATCTAATTGCGGGGTTACGATTCTAACGAATAGGATCTCTCGCTGTCCGAAACCTCCATCCATCATGGTTCACGTTCCACGTTTTGTCGCCTTAAACTCAAAGGCCTTTGAAAGGTTTTGAATGACGCTATTAGAACTTAATAAAATGTCCTGGGCTCAAATTAATTCTTTCGACATAAATTCTTTCGACAGGATTTACGTTGTTTATCATCCAAATGTCGGTATATAAAGTCAAAAAATAAGTAACATGGATTGGTTGTCCAGAAATCAAACTATCCTCCCAAGGTAATTTTGTAAGAAGAAAGGGGGATTAAGAAAACATGGTACCCCGCCGGATGTTATCTGAACCAAGCTTACTTCAACCCCTTGACCTGGTAACACGACAAACTCTGATCAGCGAAACCGCCAAACTGGCTGATAGATACAAGATCTGGCTTTGACAACCCATTTCATCCAAGAAAAGATATCCGGATAGCATGGTTCGGATGATGCAAGGTTGTCACGGCTCTTGTCTACACTTTGCCCGATCACCATCTACTCACGTCGCTAATTTTTTCCATCCCGTGGTATCATGAGAAATAGAGCTTCGGCTTCTCCGCGCATGGCTGTGTTATCATGACACACGAGACTTTCGTAGTTAAACCATGCCTTTCCCGTCTTTCGAGACTCCGCCAACATTTTCTCGAACCGCACTTTTGCAGCGTCCTGTATCCCTTCTTTCTTCATCACCTTTCTCTTAATTGTCACAATGTGTATTCGTTTAATTTCTTTGCTTGCGCCCGCGTCCCTGTTTTTTTGGACTGTTTCGGCGTTAGAGAAGTCCCGCGCTATTCCTCCGTTGGACCCGATGATCCTAAACAATATAAAATTGATACCAATACAAACCATACCTACTTTGGTTGCGTTGTGGGAAGATATGCCAACAGAATAAAAAATGGCTCCTTCGAGCTTGAAGGTGTTAAATACAATATTTCGAAGAATGAGAATAATGACTCTCAAACACTTCACAGGGGCAAAATCGGATACGATCAGCGACCCTGGACCGTGGTAAATCACACAAAAACCTCTGCTACCTTAAGCCTTCTCGACACCGGTTTTGAAGGCTTTCCAGGAGATGTTATCACATATGCCACCTACAGCGTCAGTTCTTCGAGAACCGATGGAAACCGGAAAGGTGAAACTATTTTGACCGCGAAAACCGTGTCTCTTGCATTGACTAAGAAGACCCCCATTATGTTTTCCAATCATATATACTGGAACTTGAATGGTTTCAAGAAGTCTGATGTATTAGAGGATACCACCTTACATCTGCCATTGTCTAAACGATTCATCGCCATTGATTCCTCCTCAATTCCAACAGGTGAACTCGCAGATGTCGCCACAACATTTGATGGCGCTCTCGACTTTACAAAGCCCAAGCTCATTGGCAAGGCCATCTTCTCAGCCAAAAATTGCGGCGCCAACTGTACAGGCTATGACAACGCTTTCATCATTGACCGTCCAAATAATGAGACAGACTGGACCTCTACTTTTGAGAAAATGGATGTTTCTCTAAGCATGGAGTCGAGTACCACTGGCATCAGCATGCAGGTCACTACGAATCAAAAGGCTATCTAAATTTATAGCTGTAATAGCCAGAATGGGACAATTCCAGTCAAAAAATCTCAGGTTCAGCGCAACCAGAAGGGGGGCGGTGGTGTTGATGTAATCAACAAGTATGGCTGTGTTGTCATCGAGACTGAGTGCTGGATTGACGGCATCAGTAATCCTAAATGGAACCAGGACCAGTACCAAATATATTCCCCTGATACTGGCCCAGCTGTGAACTGGGTTAGGTTCACCTTTGGAAATATTTGAGACTGACTACGGGAATTGAATTCCAGCGAGCGGGTCTCGAATGGGTAAATGGGAATGCTACAGGGGTTTAATCTGGAAGTTTAATAAAATCACGACAACTGTTAATCCAGAAGGAGAGTTGAAGAAATCGTATTGTTGTGTACATTGATATATATATATATATTTTCATCCTTTTGATGTTATCCAACTGGTTTGTGTACTTACTCTTGGTCTAGTAGCTAACTGCCCAGGTGTTTGTTTTATCTCTCAGCTTGTCGTAACTTTAATATAGAAATCATATAAAAAAGACCTCAACAGGCAGTCACAGAATATATTAAGTACGTGTATCAGCATTCCGGTAATTGTATGAGATTTAAAATCCCTGATTAGCAAGACGTATATATATAGGCTAGTTACAGAATGGAGCAGAATAGAGTTTTTTGCCGTAGGGAATAGAAGAAAAGAGACAAGTTTGAGGCGCCTATAATTTACGTTTCCGCTTGCAAAATCTTTGCTTTAAAGCTTCGTTTTGCTTCTCGAATTTGCAGTGGCATGTTGACGGCCCCCTTCGTAACATAATCGGCATGTAATCCGCAGCTAAGAGTTTTTCTCTTCTTGCATCTACAGTATCGCATTGTATCAAGTTAGACTGAGTTACTTGTCACTTTCTGAAATAAGTACAAGAAACTTTGTCAAAATAGGGCCACTAACCTTGAAGACACGTCCTCAATCTGTGCATACGCCGTATCGTCACGGAGCAAACATTTTTTTAAACTCTTCAGCAGTTGGCAGGTGTCTGAATCCCGTTTTGGATAATGCTTGCGTTAGTAGTTGTAAAAGAATTGAAAAGGGGTTAAACCAGAACCATTAAAGTTGTTAAATAGATAATGAAACATCTCAAAACGAAGAAAAGATGGAGGGAATGGGGTGGGAAACTCACAGAGTGGGAAGCTCGTCCTTTCCTGACATTTTCCAACGGAGCTCGATAATCCTCTTAATCTCTCGAAGATGAAACCCCATAAACGGGGCAAGCAGATTTCGCGAATTCCTAGCTACTCGGACCCTCGCCAGCAGCTTCTGAGCTGTGTGTTCTAGATCCTCTGGCGTGAGGGTCCGTGACAATCGCTCGATTGTCTCATTTTGCAGATCCAGTTCAAGCCTAAGTCGATCTAGCTGGCCAAGGTGGTAATTCATTATTCCTTCGAGCTTGCTCGCATCTCTAGGAAGCTCGTCGAAGGGTTGTGAGGAAGAACGATGCGCATCTCGGCATAGGATTTGAGAAATATGCTCGAGGAAGTCCACTATGGAGGGTTTATTGTGCTCGGGAGCGGAGGGCTCTGTGGGAGCATTTGCCATTATGGTCGCGGTATTGGAATGACGAGTTAGGGTTAGGAGGTCTCCAAGAGAGAGACGTTTGCGCAGAGTTCTTGGATGTTGTGGCTCTGAAGGCTGGCCCATGTAGGATGACTCTGAGCGGAATTTCTCCTTGAGGGAGGGCATCTTGGCCATCACAGCCTAGGTGAATGTGGATGTGTCCAAGGGAATATGGCACGAGTATGAAACAAACTTCATGTTAAAGAAAGAAAGTAAGGATTTACAAATGGAAGAGACACTGAATAGAAAGAAAGTTGAGATATCAATACAGTAACAACACAACACTGATATCCTAGGGGGTTGGCAGAGTAACTGTTCAGTTTCTAAAATATTCATTTAAGAATGTTTTGGTGTTTACAACACACTCAGGTTGTCATCTCCAGACAATACCTTATCTATCATAAAAGAAAAGAATATTGGTAAGATCTTAGAAAAGAGAGCTATTCAAGAAATATTCATCTCTTGGAGCATTCACTGAGAAAAAAGAATGTCACCAACTCAAATACAATCATTGACATTTGATGTTATTCATTTATTTGAGAATAAATAACATGCTAACAACAACTGTGAATGGAGAACGCTGTAGTATCTTCTCAAACCAGTACAGAAGTTCAGAGAAAGTTTAATAATCAGCCAAGTAACAGTCTCATAGATTTTACTATGCAATGAAACCGCACTTCAGGTATCATATCCTGTGTGCAGACGAAATTTCGGTTTATTTGATTTGTCATGTCGTGTCGTATATCAACCCCATTCTCCGAGTGTCCAGCTTGATCTTTCCCCACCAGATCTTCCCATGCTTGGTCCATAACCTGATCGTCGTTCCGCCGCGTGGGATACGTCCAGGTCTCGACTTGCCCCTGCGATACCATGTTGCAGGAATTTCTCTCGTTCGATTTCCACTACCCCTTTCACCTTAAGGCTAGCCACAAGACTGGCCCCTGCCCAGGATCCAAGAGACTCAACCTGACGAAGGACACCATGCGTATATGGCTTGGAATCTCTGCTGGCCCGCTCCAACTTTTCGTCAATGAAATTCGTAGATAACTCTGATCCATTATCTTCCTGGGCGTTCACACTTGAGGAAGAGCTGACAGGTCGCCGCTGATTCATCGAAATTTCCTGGAATTGCCTAGGGCGCCTGTTGATGTTCTTCCCTCTAATGGGGTCCCATCCATACATCTTAACAAGGGAATCAACTTCGTCAATTATCCTCTGCTTAACACCGGGGATATTCGAACCTCCACCTACAAAAACTATCCGCGACATGCACGCACCACGGACATCAGGTGGAAGAGTAAGGAGACCATGGAAAACCAAAATATCAAGAGGCATTTCTTCATCGTCCAAGTTCCTTGCATCAACACCCCCCGCAAAAAAGATTTCCTCAACTGGTTCAGAAAATTTCGAGAAGGGAACGTCTATATCAGCGGCTGAATCACCAAGTGGTGATGGCAGCGATATATTGCAATTTAATAGATAGGAATCAATGTTTTCCGGGTAGTCGTTCCCTGCTGGTACGGGCTCCATAGAGACTCGGGACTTATGCTCAGCATTTTCCTTGCTTTTGCACCATGCCAATCGGGTTATTATTTCCTCACACCACTCAAAGTCGACAGAAATTACATCATTGTCGCCACCATCGTTGCGAGATTTGTCTTTGTTACCGACGGTCCTCTCTAGAGTCGTCAGGAGAGAGCCCATTTTACGCATTAGTAGTTTCATAGCCCGAGTACTTCGTTTAGATTGGACTTCTCGATACTCATAAATGCCGGTAACTGTCGTCTCTTCCCACCCTATATCAACAACAAGAGCAGATCTTAGACCTGCAGAAACAGCTGCCATAGCTGCGCAGGGAAGCAGGGTAATACTTGGATATCTCCAGCGATTGAATATTGTCGACAGGAGAGATGAAAGCAGTGGATGAGGAAAAATTGGAGGCAACACGATTATTAGCCTTGAAGAGCCCGCGTCTGTGAGCAGATATTTATTGTAAACTTCTCGTATTATTCGTTCAATTTTGTCCTCAAATAGTCCCAGGTCGAAATTTCGGATATCCATATTCCAAAGCTCGTGGGATTTTGACCATTCGTCCGCATTTTTGAAGATCTTTTTCAAATTGGCTCCCTCTTGGCCCTCGGTCTTAATCCAACCCCGATAATCGCCCACTCTTCGCCCTCCTTCTGGGCCGAAACTAACGACGCAGATTGGCAAGTGGTCGCCTTCAAACCCAGCACGAAGATACCGGGACCCTAGCTCAAATATGACCGCGGCTTCTTCGTGCCGGAATGATGATCCAGGGGAGGTGGAAGTGGTGTATGGCGATAGTATCTGCCGCTGCTGGGGTGTATGCGGTGACCCAGGAAGCGGTTGTCGGCTTTGACGGAGGCCTGATCGAGCTGAGCCCGTGGAGTTAAGAGACTGTCGCCAGTCAAAGGCAGAGGAAGAAGACGCAGTCGCCATAACAATTGTCGTTTCCCACACTTGAATCTATTCGTCTATCACGGAGGTTATTGAAGTTATCCCGTAGATAACTACTCCGACCTAAGGAGGTAAATATTTAAATAAGCTTAGACCTCTGGTCTTTTGTTGTTTCAGTCCATTCTGAAGGCCGTTTTATCGCTGCACCAAAGTTAATATATAAACGCAATTCAGTGGGGCAAGCAAAATATATTTTTTGGTTGTCGCTTTCGTCTTGAAGTGTCGTTGATTGCCTTTGCTTTGTAGGTTCAACGGTTTACAGGGCAGCTATGTCTCACGTGATGACGCGAATTGTAAACCGCCTGAGCGATGCGCCAAAACAATAAAAACAAAACATTGCCACGGATGGAGCATCTTCGAACGGCCGTGACACAGGCAATGGGCCGTTAAACTTTTGGAAAACGAAAATACGCTTAGTTGTCTCTTAAAATACTACATGCTCCGAATATTCTATTCCAGGGGGTAGAAGGGTACCTCTGAGTGGTTCGGATGGGAATTCCGGGGTAAGTTGATCTTACTCTCGTAGCCGCCGGACCAACAATTGCTTCTGACACTTATGCGGGCATATGCAGGCTTATCCAGTTCATTGGCAATGGCGAGCGAATCTCTTTGGCCAAATTTGCTGTCAGTCATTTGCAACGAACATCCCGGCCCATTCGAGTAGCTATCGATATTTCAATTTGGCTTTTCCAGGCCCAGGCTGGGAAAGGAGGCACAAATCCGGAAATTAGGACGCTCTTCTACCGTCTAGTACGATTGAAAGGATTTCCAGTGCATCCGCTCTTTGTGTACGATGGCCCGCAAAGACCTCAATACAAACGTGGGAAGCTGGTTAGCAGAAACTATGGCGCTGGCGATCTGGCACGGATAATACGCCGTTCTAAAGATCTAATTAAATTATTCCGTTTCCCCTACCATATAGCGCCAGGGGAAGCGGAAGCTGAATGTGCGAGACTGCAGACATTTGGGGCAGTGGATGCGGTTATGAGTGACGATGTTGACACTATCATGTTTGGATCTAGGGTTACCATAATGAACTATTCCAAAGAGGATTCATCTGGAACGAATGCAGCAACGCACGTCACTCTTTATCGGACCAAGGAAAGTGCGGATGGACAGATCGCAAATGTTCCTCTCGATCGAGGTGGTATGATTCTGTTTGCGTTGTTGAGTGGAGGTGACTATCTCCCCGCCGGTGTCCCAAAGTGTGGTCCAAAGCTTGCGGGGGAAATTGCGCTGGCTGGATTTGGTAACGAATTGTTACAATCGGTGGAAGGTAGCGAATCAGAACTTGCTGTTAAATTGAGGCAATGGAGAGAGCGCCTGCAGAGCCAGCTTCATGAAAACACTGAGGGTTACTTCAAATGCAAACACAAGGCAGTCCAAATTCCAGACAGTTTTCCTGATCTGAAGATATTGCGTGACTATACTCATCCAGTTGTTTCTTCACCAGAGAAATTAAGAGAGGCACAACTATCGTTTATTTGGGATCAAGCCATCGACCTTGAGGGCTTGAGAGATTTTGTTGAAAAGGATTTTGGTTGGCGACGCGGTTCCGCAAGAAGATTGACTAAGGTTCTTGCAGCGCCCCTTTTATGCAACAAACTCAGGCTTGGCCTCCCACTCCTCGCGAACGCCGAATTGCTACCTATTCGCGAGCCACCAACGGGAGCGCGGCTCTGCGGGCAACGGTGTCATTATAGCACTGATGGGTTGTCAGAGCTGAGAGTTGAATATGTACCAGCCGATATTGTTGGGATAGATTTGAATTGCGAACCAGTCGTGTCTGGGTCACAACAAGAGAGTGAAACTGAAGATTTTGATATGCCTGAGGTCCAAGACGATGCGATTGATCCCAAACAGGATACAAGACGCCAACGATCATATGATCCTACGCAAAAGGAGAGGGTTTGGGTGATTGAAGCTATCGCGAAGATGGGAATGCCAGATGCAGTCAAAGCATGGAACATGAAAAAGCAAGAGAAGCTAGCTGCCGCTGCGAAAGGCACTACCAGAAAGAGGACTTCAAGAGTGAAGACAAAACCGAGAGTTGTTGATCCACAAATGAGGTTCGGGGAGATTCTGAAGTATGGCACCATTGTGAAAAGCCCAAGAACTAGATCGGCCAATGCTTATTTTTCCTCATCTCAAAAATCTTCATCGGGGCATATTTCCTCTAATCCAAATGACTACACCCTTCCGTTAAGCTCGCAGCTCTCAGTTTCACAATCTAGTCAAACACAGAACTCCAAGAAATGATAATCTTTCTCAACGCCAAAACCTTCGCCGGAGACCTCCTTGAGCGATATTGATACGGTATACAATTTTGAATATAGTGATGAATATGAGTTTCTGCCATCATCTCTACCATGGTATTTTATTCCTGTTCACGCTAACAGTTTGCGGATTCGTGTGTTGCCTCCGCAGAAAGAATAAAAAATGCCATGGATGAAATGAAAACTTTGCCTAACGGTCAACAACCCGCCCCTAAGCGAATCTCAAAACAGTGATGCGAGTCGCAAAACCGCAATGTTACCAACTAGCCCGGTGACCGATTCAGAAACACAGACAAGGAATAAAGACAAAAGAATGTCATGTTCACCCCCACAACTTCATAAATATATTAAGCCCTGCTCTCGAGGTTTAAACAAACTCTTTGTGAATGAGATTTCGTCGTCTCCATATCGCCCGTTTCCGGCTTTGACCTTCCTAGAGCAGATGATATATTATCCTACTTCTCGAGACTGAAAGTTCATATCGACCGTGACGCACATGAACCCGCTGAAGTACTCCCATAGTACTGCTGAAGGCTCCGGGCGCATGCGAAATATTTCACCTCTTCGAGCTGCGACTGCGACGACTGTCTCGAACGCAAACAACCCAAAATCCCGGTTCCGACTCAGAGAGAGGTGACGGAAGAGGCAAATACTCCAATTCAACACCCAACCACTATCGAAATTTGAAATGGCTATTGGCCATATAGGCGAACAATGAGGGGAAACAGGTGGTCTGGCCCCGAAGAACCTCGCAATAACGCCGGCCCCAGGTGTGAACGAAAGACTCTTGATAGGAAATTAAGCGAGATTATATTATGAGGATGAGTGAGTATTTTGGATTTAAGAATAGTCACTCCATAGCACCCTATGGTCCTAGAACTTGGATTCATGCAAACATTGTTCTTGGAAATCACGTTAAATTGCTCTCTGCATTCTTTTGGCCTTGCTTTTTGCCGATACCCTTGATGTCCTCTGTTAAGCATCCAGCATTCACTGTTACCATCAACCATCGTTTCTTTCGGTGAACAGCTATCACGTTTTGTATTCCCAACCAACTGCAGAAATGAACCGTCTAAACTCAATATAGTACTGCATATAATTTTCTTAAAATTAATGTCTTCCTAAAACTAACTTATAGATCATTCAATCACGATGCATTGGCTTTCCACCAACCTAAACCTAAAACGCCAAATCGGAGATGGGGATTGCGGTGATAGATACCCGTAACTAACAAGTTAACTAACTAGTTAGACGTAATTAGTTAAAAAAAAGCTACTAAGCTTACATAATAAACGAACTAAGCAAATGAAACGGTCGATGAGTGGAGGAACAGGAAACGGAACGTAGCGGAACGAAGCAGGTATCGGGAATATCAACACTGGAGCGAGAATAGCGGTCTAGGCAAAGGAAGTACTTCGCCGAGATATGATTCGTGGAAACAAATCCGGGAATAGGAGTAAAAATAGAATAAATGAAACAGGCCTGTTAAGGAAATGCCGGGAATGAAGTTAACATCATGGGTAACTAGTAACAAGGGAAATGTAGTGTTCATAAGGAAATATAATCATAAAGGGAACTCATGCGATGCAAAGAAGGCGAGAAGCGAGGTTAGGTATTAAAATCCAGTCCACAAAAAGGGAATGCGAAAAGTGCATTATGCAGCAAATGCCTTCAAGAAACTCCAAATTCCGACACAACTAAGGACAGGAATAGTAAGGTTATCATCCCATCCGAAGAGGTCTACCAATTCACTGCCAGCAGCCACTACTCCCGTCCACATACTGACAATACCCAAGGCCACGGGCCCAGTGACTACTGTTTTCGCTGCAGAACCTGCCGAAACCCCAGCCCGTGCAAGATAACCCCGAAGAAAGCTTGGAATAAGATTGAGAGTACCATTGAACATGAAAGATCCTTCAGGATCGTCGGGGAATGCGCCAACGCGAGGAACAAGGTAGCCCCAGAAAGCGGCTGCGGTAGCAACTCCGACTGCCCAAGCAGCGAGAGTTCCGGCCAGACTTTTTCCACCGCGAAGACGAACGGTATACCGGCCATACAAGCGTCCGAACGTGGACGCTGCGGTGTCACACCAACTTAGCAGCAGGACACCCATCACACCTACGTCCTTGGGGAAAAATCGGAGAGAAACATATGCTCCAAGCAGGTACCAGATCACCCCATTGTACCCAGCTACCTCAGTCTCTCGCATGAGAGCACCCAAGCAGCGAATGTAAAGCTTGTTTATAGGTTGGTAGCGATGGCGGAGAAAATCCGTAACAGCAATAGGTATCAGCGCTGTCAGGAGCCACGGCGCGACATTCAGAGTTTGTACTCCACGGCAATAGAGCTGAAGCGTGGCGAAGCCGATTGAAACATGGAGAAGCTTGCGAGGGATCTCGTGTCGATGAATAAAGGACCTATAGTGTCTATGAAGAGGAATAAGGCCAAGGGGGGAAGGAGAACGAGAGAAATTTCGCCAGCGATTTTGAATGTTGGTATATGGGGAGAGATGGCCATTGACAGGGATATATCCGTTCGGGGGGGGGTCTGATTTGGATGCCGGACTACAGGAAGAGCCATTCACGGGAGTCAGCCCTGTCATCCGACGGCGAGCTTTACTGGATGATAACGCGGTAGGACTTCGAGATCGTGTTCTTGCGCGGTGGTCCGCATTAGAATCCGAACTTGATTCCTCATCGATCTCACGTGGCTCCTTCTGTTCCTCTGAAATAAGGGGAGGCAATGAGAGGCGTTCTTTTGCGGACGCAGATCGTGTAACTGGACCGGACCGGATATTTCCTGAAATCGAGCGTTCTGAAGGAGTGGGAGAGGGCGAAGTTACGCGTGGAGTGGCGGGAACTGCATATTGGGCGGACATGACAGCAGAGCTCTCTGGCGGAGGGTACTAGGGTCTCTTGGGTGACGCGACCGGCAAATCCCCCAGCACTTCAAGGCTGAGATTGATACTCTGTAGCACGTGGAAGAGAAAGACGAAGAGGCAAAAAAGGCTGTACTATCCTGTTGAATGATCGAATACGAAGAACGTCACTGGGACTGCTCCTCTGTTTGTCAAGGGAGAGGTGGCTGCTTAAAATGCAAGCGCATTCTGGGCCAGCAGAGCACACGAAAAAAAACGTAAGATCTGTTGAGTTCCCCTAAGTCACACAAAACGACAGGAAGATAGGAATAGGACGACAGTGGAGAGGAGGGTATCGGAGAGAGACAGATGATGGAAGATTAAACAAAACCGGTCACCGCGAAGTTTTAGGATGAAAGTCAAATATTTCATAAAATTCAGGATTTGGCAACACGTGATGGTCAGCCGATCACATGTTAGTTAACAGGATTAGCTTGGCTTAGTCATCACCATTTTGGCGATTGTCGTAGGGCTAAAAAGATGCAACTTGCCCAAGATTTCATATCTGCTCATATAGGACTTATCTCGGAACGATTTAAACCTCATTTCAAGAGACTTAAGGCTTTTTGGTGTACCGTGGACTGGGCGGAAGTGCCATATACGGGTTGGAAATGGCTCCAGCTATTTCTCAAAATTCAAAGTTGAGGGCATGGGATGCTCTCACTCCTCCTCTATCGGGATGGATTCTTGATGCCATCTCGTCCATGGGCTTCTCCCGCATGACGCCAGTGCAGGCTTCAACTATTCCTCTTTTTATAGCGCATAAGGATGTAGTTGTCGAGGCTGTTACCGGCAGCGGGAAAACATTGGCGTTTTTGATCCCCATGGTTGAAAGGCTCTTACGACTTGATTCTCCTATTAAAAAGCACCATATCGGAGCAATAATCATTTCCCCCACTAGGTACGTAACTCACGATATTCCAACCAAGAATGCTCGAGAAAGAGTCAATTGAGCTAATGCATGGTATAGAGAACTGGCTACTCAAATATACAATGTTTTGCAGTCCCTCTTAGCATTTCACGGTCCTTCTGCGACCTGTTTACAATCTGCGGAGAACGGCATTGGCGAACAGAATGAATCCAATCCACCGCCGCCATACCCTTCTTCCGTGTTGAAAATAGTTCCCCAGCTGCTGTTAGGTGGCACTACCACTCCCGCACAAGATCTAAGTACATTTTTAAAACAGTCACCCAACGTTCTCATCTCGACACCTGGCCGCCTTCTCGAGCTGCTAGCTTCCCCCCATGTGCATTGCCCTCAATCTTCGTTTGAGGTTCTTGTCCTTGATGAAGCAGATAGACTCCTAGATTTAGGCTTCCAAGAAGATCTACAAAAGATTCTTCAACGGTTACCAAAACAACGACGGACCGGGCTATTCAGTGCCAGCGTCAGCGAAGCTGTTGATCAGATAGTCCGCGTTGGCCTGCGGAACCCTGTCAAAATTTCGGTCAAGGTGAAAGGTGCAGGGTCTGAAGACAAACGAACTCCAGCGAGGTACGTATACCTAGTCTATGAATATCTAACCTGGTATATCTAATACGTATCTATAGTTTACAAATGACCTACCTCCTCACCCCGCCCCCCCACAAACTCCCAGCCGTTAAAAAAATCCTCTCATCCCTCCACCCTTCCCCCCAGAAATCCATTATCTACTTCTCCACCTGCGCCGCAGTAGACTATTTTCAAGACATCCTCTCTTCCATCCTTCCTGAACAATTCGAGACAATTCCCCTTCACGGCAAGCACCCATCCCAAGTCCGCCAAAAAAACTTTGCCCGCTTTGTCCACTCTATAGCCTCCTCCATCCTTTTAACAACAGACGTCGCAGCCCGCGGGCTTGACATTCCTTCTGTAGATTTAGTAATCCAAATAGACCCCCCCACTGACCCAAAGGCTTTCCTCCATCGCTGTGGACGCGCAGGTCGCGCAGGACGCCGGGGCCTCAGCATCATCTTACTCCACCCAGGCCGGGAAGAAGATTACATCTCGTTCCTCAACGTGCGCAAGACACCAGTGACGGCATACCAATGCCAATCCTCACCGATCTGCATATCTGACGAAGACGCGACGAACGCTACGGAGACAATCCGGAAGCTTGTCCGACGGGACCGCGCGATCCATGACAAGGCACAAAAGGCCTTCGTCAGCTGGGTGAGGAGCTACAGCAAGCACCAAGCTAGCAGCATTTTCCGTGTTACGGACCTGAATTGGGAAGATCTGGGACGGGCATGGGGTCTATTGCGCTTACCCAAGATGCCTGAATTGAAGAATTTTACTGGAGATCGACTTTTAGGGGTGGAAGGAATGGACTGGGATAATTATGCGTATAAGGATAAGCAGAGGGAGAGGCGTCGAAGAGAGGAGCTAAATGAACGGGCTAATACTGCTGATGGTATTGCTTCTAATGCTAAGAGGCCTTTTAAAAGACCAGCTACACGCAGTGAATCTATTCCATGGAGCCAGAACCTGAAGAAGAGAAGTGAGAAGGAGAGCAGACGAGAGCGGAAGAAAGCTAGGAGAGATCGTGAACTATGGAGCAAAATGACGGAGGACGAGAGAAACAAAGTACGAGAGACAGAACGTATGGTGGATGCCGTTCGAAAGGCTGTAAGGAATCAATCTGGACTTCAGACGAGTGATGCTTTGGAAGAGGAATTTGAGGGGTTTGATTAGGTATTGATCACCCACCCGTGCAACCCTGTATATACACTCAACTTAGTAATCGAGCACTCGCGGGATATCACTTCATCTGTACAACTTGCGGAAACGACATATAGCGAGAACCTTCAGAACTCCATTGTAACCCTTGGCCACCCTGGTCCCGTACTCCAACGAACTGATTATATATAACAGAATTTTAAAACGCGAGCATACAGGCATACATGCATCCATAGATAAAGAAAGAAAAAAGGAAGAAAAGAAGAGACAAAGATGTTACATATAAAATAAACAATAACAAAAACAAAATGATGGGAAAAGCGGAAAAAGAAGAAAAAAGAAATCAAAAATGAGAAGGATCAAATAAACCAAAAAAGCAACGCCCCAGGAGCACCAGTCCCTCCTCCTTCCCGCACCGCCCCTAGGAGGCCCGTTCCCGCCTATACTCCCCCAGCTCCTGGCAAAACTCACCATACGAGCGCAAGTTAAAAGGCTCGATGGGAGCTGCCTCCCCCTCTTCCCCCTCTTCTTCCTCTTCCTCTACCTCCCTTTCTCCTCCCACCAGCCCCGGTTCCCCCAAGCGGAATTGCTCACGGGAGTATCGCCGGAACTCGCGGCCGAATATTTGATCGGCCGCCCCTTCATCCTCCTCCAACCACATCTCACGTACCAATTGTGTAATGTGGGGGTCTGGTACGTGGGAGGTTTGCTCCGACGACCTCCCTAGGTCACCGAGCAAGTTCTCCTTGCCAACCACAGCCTCGCTACGGGCTTCCGTGGCTTGTCTTTCACCCTGGGCATTTAGATGTGGAAGAGGGGATTCCCCCAGTGGCTCAATGGGTTCTGGCTGCGGCCCTAGAATGTCAGTACCCTCACAGGCGGATACTGGACTAGAGGAGTATCGCCGAGAAGCACGAAGTCCACTAGGAAGTTTTGGCTTGTATTTCTCGGCCCGCGAGCGTAGTTTGGCCACAGCATCAGAACCAACAGGTGTGGCCGACAGTGGCAGAGACACGTTAGCGGGTGTTGGGCGGGGAGGCGGAAGTTGTGTCCAGTTATTGGCGAAAACGGGAGGTTGCGAAGTACTGGCATCAGTGCGTGAAGTAGGTACAGTAGGTGTTACGGGTGTAGCAGGTGTATGAGGTTCAGGAGCTGCTGATACAGCTGTTGCTGTAGTCGGAGTCATGGGTGGTGGCTGGAAGGGAGGAGCCTCAGTCTCGCTGGATACTGAGGGTGTCTGATTTTCAGCAATGTTATCAGTGTTGGATAGTATAGCTGCTGCTGTTGACTCCTTTGTTGCTGACTCTGCTGCAACATCCTCTTCCAAGTCTTCATCGGAATCCGAAAACACGCTATAGTCCAAGCAGTATGTCCCAAAGGGATTAGGGCGAATGATCATCGGAGAAGGCTCAATTGGCTGTGCAGGTTCCTGCACCGATTCGGGCGATGAGAGTTGATCACGGCCAGGCTGCGTTGGTGCAGGTGACTGGGGAGCTGAGTGATCATTGGAGGAATTCCTTAGACTATTGATGAGAGGTTCCGACAAATCTTGGCTCTCAGTTTCTTGGTGGCTATCATCAGAGTTTCGTCGGAGACGAAGCTTTGATGGTGTATTTTCAGGACTGGCGTCAAATCGAACACGCTTTGCGTTTCTTAAGATACCTCGAATAGCCGGTTGTGCTGTGCTAGGGATTGGGGCATGAATTGGGGCTGGAGTTGGGTTTGATGCAGGAATTGAAGCTCGAGTTTGTGCGATGTTAGCTGTGGTGTCAGGATTTGTTAATGAGTCATCATCAGCTTCGCTTAGAGAACTGTATTCAAAATATCTCAAGTCCATTCCATAGCTACAGCCTGGAGGGTTTGGGATTTCGTCTGGAGAAGTGGATCTGCGCTTCCTTTTGTTCCGGTTGGTATTGTTGGTAGTAGTGCTGTTGGAAGCGTGCTGCACGTTATCACTTTCGGTCTCAACCGAACTAATCAGCTGATCTGGCGAAGGCTGGTGAGCCTCCTTCCGTGGGGATGAGATCCCCAGAAGTTCGCGTCGGTTTAGCGGTTCCGGGAAAAGAGAGTACGTCAAGCTACCATCGTCCGGAGTCTGCTCTGATTGTTCAAGTGGCTCAGATTGCTCATTCTGCTGCGGGGTATTGATAGGCGCTGGCGGGAGTGGTCTCATTTGAGACTCTGGTGGGGCTGTAAACACGTCAACAGACGACTGTGATCGATTAGGAGACAGCGTGAAGGTAGGAATGAATTTCGAAATTGTTCTAGGCACTGAATTAAGAAATCCTCTAATGCCCCAAGTTCGGCTCGGAGTCTGAGGGGCTTGTGGGGTTTCTGGTAGTTGTGGTTGTTCATCATCAGACATTGCAGCTGCATCTGCTTTCATTTGCTTGAGCACATCCCACACCGGCTCGTCTGCTTCTGAATCCTCTGTTTTGTCATTTTCCTTCGTAAGGTCTGCTTTGTTTTGGGCGATTAATTGAGGAATGCGGAATATAGTTTTTTCTATCCGACCCTGACTTTCAAGTGCTCTACGACGAGATCGTTCGGCATATGAAGTTACTTTTCGTTGTCTATGTAGAGCAACAGACGAATTTCCGGTGTTGCGGCGCTTCCTCGTGGATTGCGAATTGATGGGTGGCGACTTGCCATCATCGCTCGAATCGAGTCGCGCTCTCTTGCGGGGTGAACCTGGGGCCTTTGTTAGCGTCCTCTTCTTGTTGGTCTGGTTTTCTCCAGAAAAAGCCTCAATATCATGTCTATAAGGGCAAACAAGCATCTCGGTGCAGCAAGGGCATCTAGGAACCATGCCCCAAGCCAAGGCTGGCGATGTCGTATCCCCACGGAGTTTGTCCTAGGTGGCTCAAGGTATGGGTGTAGTTTACTTTAGGACTCATGGGAAGCTTTGGGAGCTCCCTTCCATTCCCACGAATGGAGCCTATCCGACCTTTGAGGAAATGGTTTCAAATGCATTGTAGTCAGTGGACGGATGGGAAAGTCCAGAGTGAAAACAATCTCATATTATACCCCCTAGGACGCTGGGGAGTTTGATAGGGATCAATTGAAGGGGCAGAGAGAGAAGAGTGTAGGGAATGATAAGACCCAGGTGTTGCATGAACAACATAGCCTATCAGTTGAGACTGCTGAGGAAAGGTAGGGGAAGTTGCAATGTCCTGACAGTGTGCGCGAACCACCGAGATATAAAATTTACCCTGGTCGAACTAAAAGAGTTCGAGAGTCTCATACCACTGGTAGCGGACGATACGATGAAGCGGGATAAGCTCGCATGTCCAGATTGAGCGCGCCTATTGGACGAGGGCGAACAATTTGAGGGACGGAATGTGAGTTTACCCCAACTCCGCTTTGGCAGCCTTGAGAAACAGGGGTTTGGGAATGCAATTGAAGAAGATCTCTTTTTCTTAAATGCCAAAGCTATAATAGGGGTTGAACGATCTAGAGAGGGCAATGAAATACGTTGAGTACGGGGAGTGTGTCTAGGATCTGACAGGGAAGTTGGATGATAGGATGGCGGGTGGAATATTTATAAGGCTTAGCCAGCGATTGAGCACTTGGAGCATTGGTGGCTGGGATTTGCCCAACACCGCTTGGCTCCTGAGGATTGCCGGCTGGAGGAATCGGAAACCCTACTGATGCAGAGGAAGAGAGATTCGCATGGGGGTTGGATTTTCTATTTCCGGGGTAGCTAACCCGTTCAAACAGAGTAGAAAGACTACTTTTGGGCACAGACTTTGGAGACGGTGACTGCTTACCTTGGGTTTCCAAATGGGCCTGTTGACCAGAAACTGATGGTGTTGGAGTTGTTGCGTCCATAACGGGTGTAACAACCAGTATGGGGACAGGAGAAGAATCCACGGGCGTGGTCACAATTGGAGAAGTTGAAGAAATAATTGGTTGCTCACATGTATTTGTAGATGCCTCTGCGGGCTGTTCTGGGGTGGCATCACCATCAACATTGGGTGTAGGTACGTCGCTGGCAGCGGCTTTGGTAGGGCTAAGTGCATCGGCGCTGTCAATGGTCGCGGATTCTTCTGATTTAGTCGCTGATTTCTTCGACCCTTTCTTAGGGCCACGTTTTGCGGGTATCTTCTTTTCGCCTTTGGTTTTTGTCGCTTTGGCTGTTGTCTCTTTAACCGGTTTCGGTATCTTCGGGGGAGTCGAGTCCGTCTGCGATTTCTTCCTACGCGAAATAGTCTGCAGCGACTGAAGACCGCCAGGAGATATTGGTTGCGATCGAGTACGCATGATTATGCCGCTAGGGCACAGGTCCGTCTTATTCACAGCGTAAAAATGCTGTTTTACGGGTGGAGCTGTAATAGCTCAGCGCGAATAGGCTCCGTCCTGGAGAATCATCAGTAACCGCCCAACCCAGCACCGAACAGGACAAAACAAAATCAAACCAGAATTTATTTGGTAAACAGATAGCTAACAGCTGAGATACGGGGAACCGTCGTCGAGGATTGCTGCGCGGATGTAGATTGAATTGAGATATTGACAGACACGGAGTTTGGGAGCTCAACGGAGCACAGGAGAGGTGGAGGGGAACGATATGGATGCGGTTTTCGCGAAGGCAAGATAGGCTGAGAGACACGATAGAAGATGAGAATGAAGGTGTATAAGTTAAAAAGAGCGATGGTAAAAAGGGCAGAATATATTTGCTTTTCAGCAGATGCGATTGTTTATGATGGTAGTTGGAGCGGTGCGAAGGTAGATGGAGAGTGCGATAGTCGAAATGGACGCGTTAAGAAGAAAATATGAAGGAGAGGGAGCAGTTGAAGAAGTGGGATGATATGTTGTGGTGTTGTGTGGTCTGTTGTTGTGATGCTGCGGTACGCCCAAGGGTTGCTGTGAGATAATTAATTTGTGTTGTTGAGAGCAAGGCAGTATAGAAAGGCGGTGGACGTTGGAAGGAGATTGGTTAGGTAAGCAAGCGTGGCGTGCCAAGCCTGACAACGCAGCAAAACAGTTTAAGGTGATGAATAGCAACGAGGAATAGGTAGGAATAGAAATAGTGAATATATGGGTGTCAATAATCTACTGGAATTGTATTATGTGCATTTGTCGATAAAACAGATCATAGATCGCTGCTGTCGGGGTTTCTCTAACAGCGAAGCCAGCGCCCAACCCGCAAAAGCTGAAAACAGGTTCTGGGAGGACGGGAGGCAGAGAGAAAATGGAGCCAGTGTATTTCGTCTGATTAGGTTGTAGCCAGTAGACGTACAGCAAGTCATAAATACACTCTAAAAGAGGCGGGCCGGAAATGTGACACGTACACGTACATTCTACGTATGTTGAAACAGCACAGAACGTTAATCTGTAGCAATGACAGTGAAAAGAAATAAAAAGTGATACAAAATCTTGTGTCCAAGGAAAAAAGAAAACCAAGTAGAAAGCCCCGCTAGGTGCCTTAAGAAGAGCCCTCAAGAGCCCTCACAGGCTAATTTCTCCCTTCCATGACGCATCGGTCAAACCAAGCGTATTGATCAAGTGCTGCCACCGTGGACCACCGCGTTCTTTTCTCCTCAAATATTTCAACAGTTTCTGTCTCTTGTGAACAAGTAATCGCAGATTTCGCTTGTTATGTTTATCTTTGTGCCCGTACTTCGCTATCTGTTGAGCAAGCACTAGGATCTTCGTGGTCAGAATGGCAATCTGCACCTCTGAGGAGCCTGTGTCCGGACCAGCTCGTGTTGACCCTGGGGGATTCTTGGGTGAAGAGGGATCGATGGCCGCAAGTGTTTTGGGTTCAAGCATCGATTCTGTAACATGTCTTCCAAACGTGTGTATGCACCGTTGAATATTTACTCGGGTGCGATCTTTGTTGCTGCCGTTGTCGAGTTGTATAATGCGACTGATTGCTTGTTGCGCGTTACGGTGAGCCGCTTCATGCTCCAGCAGTTCTTCCTCCTTGGATTGTGGATCAGATATGGCGCTCTCACTGTTGACCACGGGTTCCGTAAGACGTTTCGATCGAGCAAGGGCATCTTCGAATTCCTCTGATGTGAGGTAGTGGTTGAGGTCGGGGATTATAGGTTGGGTAGAACTTGTATTGGGCGGTTCATTGACCTTTTGCTGGGTCATAGGAGCAACGGTTTCAAGTTGCTTTGGCATCAGGGATTTGATAAAGGGAGTGGGATTGCCGAGCACAGGGTCCCCATATGTTGTAGCACGTTCCTTTTTCAGGACAGCTTGTCGTGACAAGTTGGCAGCTTTCCGCTGCCGAGCCTGAGCAATTGCATAAGGACTCTGTCTTTTTCTCTTCTTCGAACGGCTTTTGCTACTCAAAGGGGCTATTCTCGACGAGGCCGGAGACGGGCCTAGGGATAATGCTGCGAATGGGTTTTGTAGAAGAGACACTGGAAAAGGTTAAGGTTAGAGCAACCCATCATCAATCCGGGCAAGTAATCAGTATCTCCACGTACCATTAAATGCCCTGGAATGGAAGGGAGTAAGGAAGGGAGTAAGAATCCTGGGTGGCATATTGTCGATATGACCCATCAATGTTGGGCAAGCAAAATGACCAGAAGCAATATCAAGCACTTTTTTTCTCGCCCTGGGGGCTGAGAGCAAAATTGAGCTTGGTCCATCATTGGCTTGGATCCCGTGACCTGCAACCGGAAAAAGATTTCGGAACATTTGTGTCGGGTTTGCCCTAATTTCCTCATTGGGCAATGAGACACACAACCCAACTGAGCCTGCAAACCTCCGAATATTTCGTCAGGACATTTCAACTTGCTCTCCACTTAACGCGATATCGACAACCCGCCAACGATTGATATTTATCCTCTCCTGCGTTCGAATATCGGTCGCCCAGCATGGCCCCTTCCAACCTCCCCCCTGTCTTCAATGCGACATCTCAAGATATTGAAATGTTGCTGGCCGCACAATGCCACCTCGGTTCTAAGAACTTGCAAGTTCACATGGAACCTTACCTGTGGAAGACTCGTCCTGACGGAATCAATGTGATCAACATTGGCAAGACCTGGTAAGGCAAATCCTGCGCCCATTGATTTGTTTGGGTTTTGGAGTAGAGGCAAAACTAAGGCCGGCTATTGCTCATTTGTCGCGAAAACAACAGGGAGAAAATCGTTCTTGCAGCCCGCATCATCGCAGCCATTGACAACCCAGCCGACATCTGTGTGATCTCCGCTCGTCCTTACGGCCAGCGTGCTGTCCTCAAATTTGCTGCCCACACCGGTGCTGTTGCTATTGCCGGTCGCTTCACCCCAGGTAACTTCACCAACTACATAACCCGCTCCTTCAAGGAGCCCCGCCTCATCATCGTAACCGACCCTCGCACCGACTCCCAGGCCATCAAGGAAGCCAGCTATGTCAACATTCCCGTTATTGCCCTCTGCGACACTGACTCTCCGACCGAGTTCGTCGATGTGGCCATCCCCACCAACAACAAGGGTCGGCATGCCATTGGTCTGATCTGGTGGATGCTTGCCCGTGAAGTCCTTCGTCTCCGTGGAACCCTGGCTAACCGCGAAACCGAGTGGGATGTCGTTGTCGATCTGTACTTCTACCGTGATCCTGAAGCTGAGGAGAACAAGGAAATCGAAGAGACCAAGGTTCCCGGTGCTGAGGAGGTTGGTGCCGCTGCTATCGAGAGCGGTTTAGTTGGTGATAGCTGGCAAGCTCAAGCCACCCCTGGCTTTAGTGCTGGTGTTGCTGTTCCTGGCACTGCTGTTCCCGGATGGGAGGCCGACGTGTCCACTGATTGGGCTGCCAGCTCCGCTCCCGCGGCCGAGACCTTGGCCGATCCTGCTGCAGACCCGTCTGTCAAATGGTAGATTTGGGGCTCGTTTGGTTCGACTGCAAACCTGCATGGGTTAACTGAAGAAAAGACACTTTTTTTACTGCTAACTAACAGAAAGCTATGAAATTCCGACCGATTTCCATTCCATTCTTCGCTCACTGCTCTTCATGCAAAGCCTGCCCATTCCCCTTTCCCCTTTTTATCTCCCCTACTCTATTTTTTCCCTTTCACATAGTCTGTGAAAAAGGGGACAAATGGTTTCAAGCAGCCAGAATTCTTCGGTTTCTTTTTTACCCCCGTTGCATGGTTTTGGTTTGGTTGCAGCCTTCAGCACCTTTGTTGTATGAGAAGTGACAGCTGTTTATCATTTACATACGAAAGAGAAGCCAAAAAAAATTGAAAGTGAAATTGAAATTGACTGGCACTTATGAGGGAAAGATATCCAAATTTTGGACTTTACCGGTCGGAAATTTGGGGGAAAGCCCTGTGCTGTCAAGAAAAGGGGCGTACTTAATCGTTGTCCCGACCTGTTTTCCATTTCCCAAATGTTTTTTTCCAATTCCGTTTTCCTCTTACTACAACCACTAGATACTGATGAAAATAACCAATTTCAAAGGCATCTTTTCTCTTTCCTTTATACGGAGTACTGCTGTAGCTCAAAGAACTAACCCCGGACTTCCAACCTGCTTGCCTCCCTAATATCATGTGACATACATCACGTGACTCATATAAATTTTGATCCTCAAATCACCTCCCGTTAGATAAATATACATCCCGTAATTCTGATTACTTGCATATCAAAATATCTATGAATATGTGAATCAACAGTATCCCACCGGCAAATTGCTTCAAAAAGGAGATAATAAAACCCCTTCACCTCAGGTTCTTTGTTGTAGGGCATGAAATTTTCCTCCAAGAATCTGGCCAGCTTCAGACATCAACCAAGATATGCTACCCTAAAACCAATTTATCTCCTACAGATTTGTTGGAATTCTTCGATCCCATCAAGAACCAACAAAAGCCGATTCTCATCCTCCTCCACCTGCACCTCTTTGAAAATGCCTGTCGCGGACACCAATGAAGCATTAACCGCCAAATCACACTCCAAAAACCAACCCGACTACCCATCTTGGAGCCAATCAAGCCTCATATCCCGCATCACCGAACTCGAACGCCAATTGAACTACTACCAAAACAACAACGATGGCAAGAAACAAGCAGATGGGAGTAAAGAGCACATTAGCTCTATAACAGAGACCGCAGCCTCTCACTCTCCTTCGCGCTCCAGCCCTAACAAAAAGCACCGCGACATTGACCCATCGAAATACAACACGCGCTTCATCGCGCTGAAATTCGCCTATCTGGGTCAGAGATATGGTGGCTACGAGCATTCTAACGGCAATATCACCCCTTTGCCAACTATCGAAGAGGAGTTGTGGAAGGCGCTGAGAAAGGCACGGTTGATCTTTCCACAAAGCGTGGAGGGAGATGGTCAAGCCCAGGTGGAGCGTGGTGAGGGGGAGCAAGGGGAAGGAGAAAGATTGCATATAATTGATTGGACGGGCTGTCAGTATTCGAAGTGTGGAAGAACAGATAGGGGGGTTAGTGCGTTTGGGCAGGTTGTTGGGATTAGAGTGCGGAGCGCACGGCCGAAAAAACAGGTTGTGACAGATGGGAGAGGAAAGGAGGGTCCAGGGGCTGTTGGCATTGCAGCTGTAGCTACTCCGGAGATTTCCTCTACTACTCCTGATGCCTACAGAAGCGGAGCAGAAACCCCACTTGTTGGAGCGTCTGGTTGTGCTTCAGAAGAGTCTGACAATGAAGATGAATGGGATGACATTGCAGATGAACTGCCATACATAACTATCTTGAACAAAGTGTTACCAGAGGATATCCGCGTGTTAGCATGGTGTCCGAACCCTCCATCAGATTTCGATGCTAGATTCTCGTGTCGCGAACGCAGGTACCGGTATTTCTTCACGCAGCCGGCCTTCTCTCCAACTCCTGGTCCTCTTGGCTTTCTGAAACGGGGCAGTGATCAGAAAAGTTCGGGTTCGGATAGTTATCCAAGTACAGAACTGAGAGAAGGGTGGTTGGACATCGAAGCCATGCGTGAAGGTGCGAGATATCTTATAGGAACCCACGATTTTCGAAATTTCTGCAAAATCGACCCGAGCAAACAGATTACAAATCACGTGCGCCATATTTACCATGCCGACATCGAGCTGTTGGACCCTCAAACAAAACCACTGTCATATCTGGGTCAACCTGAATTCCAGGCCCTTGAAGCTGGAAATGGAGAAGTGGACCGGAATTTGGTGACAAAGGACTCATTGTTATCGTCATCTAATATGAAAATATACTCCATAACAATCCATGGCTCTGCGTTCCTCTGGCATCAGGTTCGACATCTGGCTGCAATTCTCTTCTTAATTGGTCAGGGACTCGAGCGACCGTCGATAATTCCAGAGTTGCTAGATATCGAGAAGAATCCTCGGCGACCCACATATGAGATTGCTTCCGATGCGCCTCTAGTTCTTTGGGATTGCATATTCCCCCATGGAAGGAGCGGAAGCAGGGAAGATGGATTGGATTGGGTCTATGCGGGCGATTCACGGGCTGCAAAGGTTGGGAAGGGAGATAATAACAAGTTTGGTCTTGGGAGTACTGTTGATACCCTCTGGAAGGTGTGGAGGCAACGCAAGATTGATGAGATTCTAGCGGGTGAACTTCTTGATCTCGCGGTGAGTCAGTGCGACAGGAGTGCTCTCTCCCGGGGTGGATTCAAGAATGCGACTCCAGATCTGGAGAACAGAAGTCAGAAAGTGTTCTATGGGGGTAATGAAGGGAAATTTGGAGGCAAATACGTGCCTGTGATGGAGAGGCGTAAGTTGGATACTGTGGAGGCGATCAATGCGAGGTACACGAAAAGGCCTGGGAGGAAAGGTATTGAAAACGGCGAAAGGGGGGGGTCGATCTGGTAGCGATTCATAGTGCAACAACCACTCGCGATTTGCTCCCATTAAGATCTTCCTTCTCCCTTTAAAATTGCATATGCCAACCTATCTTCATAGAGCTGCAGCCTTCAAATAAACAACTGGGGCTTAAATTGACCAAGATTGCAGACATGGCAATCATGATTTCGGGTCATAGAGGCATCTGCGAGTCCCCTTCCAAACTTCTTCAAGAATTAAGCGTCGGGGCAATAAATTCTGTCAATCGCTAATATTAGATGGAGCCTTCGAGGGACGGACATGGGGGAGGATGATATTTTAAGAGCACGAACAGGAAATACCACAACAACGTCCGACTCCCCTTCCACAATGATGGCAAGATAGAACTTGACCTCGAATCCCTTGAAAGCCTCATGTATCACAATGTCTTGTATTTGCGTTGTAGGGATAAATCGAGTGGAGGCGGTTGAGAAGTAGGTGGCGGAGGAGGTCGAGGTTTGGACACCAAGTCCGCGAATGACCAGGAGCGATTCTTCTATTGCAAACGATATGCGGATCAGCCATTGCTCGTTTACAAATGCAGAATATTCACAGAAATATATCTACCTATATATACACATGTATATAAACCAATGTTGTAGAGGATGCTACAAAAAAATTTTTGAAAAAATGAAAAAAAACTAACCTGTATGCCCTTTCCTAACAACGAGATAAACAATCACGGCAATCACAGGGCAAATATAATGCCAATCCTGCCTATCCGAAATGTGACACGCTAGCGTCCCAATACTACTCGACCAAATATCATTCCACGGTATGAACCCATTACCAAGCACAACTATGAAAGAGCGGACGGAAGCTCCGTTGACGAGCACGATGAATGCGAAAAGGAGAATGCGGAGCACTGCTTCAACAGCGAATAGGAGCTTCGAGGTGATTGTGCTGCGGACGGAGGCATTAGAGACGGTGAAGAGAGCCGTTGTCGGCGATGGGCGCTGGATGGAAAGGCGAGAGGGCATTGAGACGGTGTGGAAATGGTGTAGCGAATTATAGATGCGTAATATTTAATGTGCTGTTATTTAACATCTGAAGCTTCAGCTTAAGTCTGCCCAAAGGTTCGCGCGCAGAATTGCTCGCCGCAAAGTTATCACGTGACACCGGCGCGCTGTTGCCCAGAACTCGGGCGTCAGTCGGGGGAGCTTTGGGCTCGCACGACCAAACAACAACTTTCAGGGGTGGTTACAAAGACGGTATCCGCCTGCTTCTGCTCCTAAACTTGGCAATCATTTATCATCTTCCATCGGACTCAGCACTGCTGCCCCCATCGTTCGCAAATCAATATTCCTTCGTTGTGCCACACATAAATCTCAGCCCTTACATACAACAGACATGCCTCGGCCATCTTCAAGATCACCATCCCCACGGCGGGAAGATAGGAGAAGAAGCAGATCACCGCGGCAGAAACACAACGAAGATAGAGACCGGGATGAGCATAGGCGTCGTGAAGGCGGCTTTCGGTGGAAAGAGAAGCGTCGCGTCGATGACAAAGAGCGGAGAGACGACGTCAGAGGGCTGGAACGTGGATACAGAGAAAGGGAGAAAGATCGCTCCAGAACACCACCACCTCGAGATCTTGAGGGAGAGAGATATAGGGATACAGTCTCTGACAGGGACAGGGACAGGGACAGGAGAAGACAAGAAGGATATAAATATACAAAGAAAGGGAGCAACGATAACAAACGTGGGGATAGGGATGAGGGCGTATTCGGTGACCAGGATAGGAGGGAAAAGAAAATGGAAAAGCAGCATAAGGACAAGGACAAGAAACCTCCACCAGTTGCAGCGACGGGGGAACCGATGATAATCGTCAATGTGAACGATAGGCTCGGCACGAAAGCAGCTATTCCGTGCCTGGCGTCAGATCCAATCCGTGAGTCTCGTTTCCCTATTTGCTATTAGGATTGGTTCGGATTGATACGGATCATCATGGTGGTGTGGGGGAGGGCAAGGAAATGATTTTTGATGCCCGATCAGCTTTCTTGTCTTGTATCCATAGCTAACCATTTGCCCTTCCTTTATATACATAGGTCTCTTTAAAGCCCAGGTTGCAGCACGGATTGGACGAGAACCTCACGAAATCCTTCTCAAGCGACAAGGAGAGAGACCGTTCAAGGACCAGCTGACTCTGGAGGACTACGGCGTCAGCAATGGTGTGCAGCTTGACTTGTGAGTTTTCCCAAAGTTTCGTGTGTTCCCCATGGTGTCCCCTTTCCCGGCCACATGGAAGGGATTGGGTTATATTTTCTTGTAACTATAGTGCTAACTGTTCTTGATCTTAGGGAAGTGGATACAGGCGACTAGCAATGATGAATTATTGCAATTTGTTCTGTGCAGCGAGCAAATTTTGTATATTAGACAACCCTCACTGATTTATTGGTTGAAAATCTAAGGAGAGGGGAAGGGGAGAACGGTGTTTTCGTCCAAGATTGATTTCAGTACCACAATCCACGCTGAAACTGAGATTTGGTTATTGGTCATGATTTCCTGTTGGCCTTCAACGGCTGAATTGGCATTTCTAACGTATCTAGCCAGCAAAAATGGCTCATACACATAGTCTTCATATCCCCCTCTGGAAATTCCATATACTCCACAAGTTAGGTGCCTTGGTACCGTGGACCCAGATACACTGGGACCAGGCTGATGTGAGCCCGGATGGGAACTGTTCGAAGTACAACCAAAATATATGATGGATATTATGCTCTTCCTACGGCCAAAGGTCTTCGGACTGTGCTGCGTTGGATCATCAGATGTTGGTTTTTCTTGCCATCGCCCCGGAGTATGACAGACCATTCCTCCGTGTGTTTGGGTGTTTGGGTGTCCGTGTCTGTATATGAGTGTGTGTGCATGTCTCTGTTTCTTCACCCCACGTTTGCTGTGTGTCTCTGCTCTTGTCTCCGTCTCTGTGTCTTCCACGGATGTTTCTGTCCTGTTGTTGATATCAAGAGTTCAAGTGCGGGGGAGAGAAACACCCTGCTTATCTCAGCAGACCATTGCGGGCGGTGGCAAAACGGGCAGGTCCCGTGACTTGGCTTTTTCCCGACCTATTTTTTGATTTTTACTTTTACCTGTCATTATGATCAGGAAATTCCACCCAACCAAGTTGAGATATTTTTATCTTCAATTTCCCGTTATCCTCCCATTCCTCCCTCTCTCTCCTGCTCTCACCGCCATTGTTCCCTTCGATCATGTCTGCTCCATTCCTCTTCGGCTTCCCATCTCTGTTCATGTTCTACAGCATTAATTAGTGTACCGCCACCCTTCTCCAATCATCCTTGCAGGATCGGCTAGCGGAAAATATCGCTCATCAAATTGCCGCTGTCTTTGTGTCAATTTTTAAACGATTTCTCCCCGCCTTCCCACCCCGTCTTTTTAAATAACCTCTATCAGATCTCTGATATTCCTTCCGTTGATGGTAAAAGCTTCTCGTTCTGACGTCCAAGATGGTTAGGAACATTGTTGTGCTGGGAGGGTCCTCCCATCCACAGCTTAATGAAACGATATGTGAGCATCTTGGCATTCCCGTGGCCAATATGCTACTGTCGAAATTCTCTGTTGGTGAAACTCGCGTAGAAATCAACGAATCTGTTCGTGGCAAGGATGTGTATATCATTCAATCTGGTGGAGGCAAGGTTAACGACCACTTGATGGAACTCCTCGTCATCATCTCTGCTTGCAAAACAGCTTCCGCGAAGAGAGTTACGGCCGTCCTCCCTCTCTTTCCTTATTCTCGCCAGAGCGATATCCCATACAACAAGATCGGTGCTCCTCTTGTTAAATCATCCGTCGCCAGATCCGATAATTCTGCCAACTACACTTTCGAGAGCACGCCGCCCACCCCACATGCTGGAAAAGCGGAAAGCATTGGCCTAACAAGCGATGGTTTACAGAAAGGCCTTGCCCAAGTACAAATTGAACAACATGAAATGTCCGGCAGTGGAAGCCCTCAAAAGGCCCGGTTTGGTCATTACGCAAATGGTCAGCTGAAACGCAGCGACACCATTGACACCACCAAGTCGGATACGAGTAATCGAAGTCGCACTGCAACTGCCGTGCCTGCTACCAACGGCACTGCGACCAACGATGATGTCATGAGCGTGGCTTCAAATTCTTCAAAATTGAGTGCATTCCACCCGCGTCCCGGATACCGACAATGGGTAGCGCAGGCCGGCACACTTGTGGCAGATTTGCTCACATGCGCTGGTGCGGACCATATTATCACCATGGATTTACACGATCCTCAGTATCAGGGATTCTTTGATATACCTGTTGATAACCTCTACGGTCGACCGTTGCTCAAAAAATACATCACGGAGAATATCTCCAATTACAGGGAAAGCATTATAGTCAGTCCCGATGCCGGAGGAGCCAAGCGCGCGACTGCAATCGCCGATTCACTTGGCATGGACTTTGCTTTGATCCATAAGGTAGAACACATATATACACCTATATACAAACAGCCCTGTCCTTGGGACAATTGTGATTTGTGACGCCACTGACATTTTGTCTCCTATTTCTTCAAAACGAAAAGGAACGTCGTCCAACGAAAATCACAGATCGTCAGAACGCAACCATGATGCTGGTGGGTGATGTTAAAGGCCGGACTACCATTTTGATTGACGACCTTGCCGATACGTCGAATACTATCACACGCGCCGCGAAGCTTCTCAAGAAGGAGGGAGCTTCGCGGGTGTATGCTCTTGTCACACACGGCATCCTCAGCGGGGACGCCATTGAGCGAATCAACGCCAGCGCTCTGGACAAGGTGGTCGTCACCAACACCGTGGCGCAGGACGTTCACAAAGTCCTCTGTCCTAAATTGGAAGTCCTAGAGGTTGGTCATGTTTTTGCTGAGGTAAGTCTTGTGTGTCTTGTTTTAAGACTTGAATCAAATCCCTCCGTTCAGCTCTCGATTTTGGTTAACAGAACTCTGGTTGCTTACTTTTGCTCGATATAGGCTATCCGTCGCGTCCACCACGGTGAAAGTATCAGTGTGCTCTTCCAATATGACTGATTTTCCTCCTTGGGAGTGAGAGATCTGTTGTTCGTTTTTATTATCTAAACAACACTTTGAGCACTCCCAACAGCAGTGAATGAGAGTAAAATCAGACCCCCTTTCCCTTCTCCTCACCCGCAAAATACGATCAGCACGAATGATTAATTGAATAGAGTCTTACCAAAGTCAAAAACGCAAAACCCCAATCTTTCACCCGCTCTTTACACAACCTGATGCCCTTCTAACTGGAGTGAAATTTCATCAAGTCAATTTCATTGGGCACTTGCACATATCGGCAGAGAAATGGACTCTCCCTTATCTCGGCCCCTTGCTTGGAGTGGCACTATGATGATGAAACACTTATTTCTGGAAATGAGTCCAAGAAGGGCATCTGTGAAATTTTTAAATTTGTTGTTCTGTCCTCTCACTTCTCGCTTTTCTATCCTTCCACATTTCCGTCTGTCCGACGTTACCACTGGTTACATTGATTAGAGTGGACAGGTAGTGTGTGGTGTGAATTCCTCATGCCAAGTGCTGGTTATCGGGGCTCCCATCTTTCTCTATATATCCACTCTCCTTCTCTTATATTCCGATTTGGTTCTAGTGATTGTGTACCTTGTTTACTCTTATTTGGTCTTATCACCTCGCAGTGTCTGCCTAGCCTTCCCGCAGTCGTTCCCTTCCCATATTGCGTTCTTTCGGATCTTTCGAAATTTTTGTTTCCTGTATTTTCAAAAATGAGGAGCAAACAAACATTCTAAGTATTTAGCCTGCAGAATTATTTCTCTCCATCTGTTTAATTGTGTGTCTGCGAATGCGCTCTTCTTTCTTACCCACTCAATAACAGGTGAAACGGCTTTTGTAACAGAGGTAATTCGATTGTTATTCAATTACATCTACAAAGCCGTAACTCCAGGACTGGGAGATTGGAGAAAGACACGAAAAGGAGGGATATACATACATAATGCCACCAAACCGGGGATTTTTCATTTTCGTATACATAGTTTCTTTTGGTGGAGATGCCAACTAGCTTATGCCCTTCCATAAATAGTCGTCCTCTTGCCGTCCATTGTACATGCGCGGAAGGCATCTGATATCTATCGATGTTGTATATAAACTCACACTAGCTATTGTCATATATTTCAACAAAATGCCGTTTCACCAACGGCATGATATCAATCCAAAAGTTATAGAGCTTGGAGTTCATGGTTAAATCTACCATTTTAGGCAGCAGACCGTGTGACAGATGACTATCTTTAGCCTGCTCATGCATGTATTGAGCGGCAGCAAACAGTGATGTATCTCCTCTCCTTTCACGTCTTAAGGTAGGTATGTTTGCTGGGATCCTAATCTAATTAATGCGCGGACTTCATGCTCCGGGATGACCACAATCGAGTAGACCTATACAGAGCAAATATCTCAATCAATAATGAGTGGAGATCAATGTTCCACGGAACAGCGCAGTGGCCAGGACCGATGGCCTCTCCGGGACTTCGGGAAGTTCCCCCCACGGAGGTATCTCGGCTTCGAGCAATAACTGCTAACTAGCGCCGCGCACGCAGCAAGGCCCCAGTGGACGGCGAGTGGATACTTACAACCAATTCCAACGGCTAGTTAAAAGAGTTACTACGTACATGCGCGGCAGATATGTACATCCTGTGACCCCCCACGCGGATTTCAACGCGGGTTGAAGGAAGAATGACCCCCTTTCCCCAAAATATTTGCGGAGAGAAGGATGTCGGTGCGGTCACCATCAAGTTGTGAATATTCTCTCGTCTGGGGATTCCGTTTACTTTCATAGTGTCTGATGTAGTTTATACTACTAGATTACGTTACGGAAAAAATGTATTAGATGGATGGGGCAACAGCTAAACAGACAGAAAACATGAGATAGATCATGATATATCTAATGATGGCCTATAATAATGTAGCAGATAGCAAAAAAAGAAAAAAGAAAAAAAAAAAAAGAAAAAAAGACAGCTTATGAGAGGCACGTCACTGACAATATTGAAGTATTTTAACAAAGAGCTGTTACAATTCATCTCGCACTTTCTTCAGATCCTCCTTTTCTTTTGGTTCCCCCTTTGCCTTTTGTTTCTCCTTCTTCCCGTTCTTGTTTTTTGAATTCCCATTACCCCCAGACTTCCTATCACCATTTGCTTTTTCTCCACCTGGAAGGGGTATACTCGTCATAATCTTATTAAGCGCCCGTTCCAACTCGCGGATTTTCGCTTCCAGATCTCTTACGGTCAAGACGGGGTCTTCGAAATCACTGAGCTTCTCCTGAAGGGAAAGCTGTGTTTCAAGCCAGGAACTTATGGTGTCGTGAGTGCTCGAGAGAGCGGAGATGTCCGTGGCTGAGTAGATAGATAGTGGGTTGTGTTTGGAAGATGGGGTGGAGGAAGGCGTTGTGGTTGCTGTTGTTTCCGAGGGGAACTCATCCTCGAGAGAAGCGAAATCATCTGATATTGAAAAGGGGACAGAGGTAGAAGACGTTGAGGTTGACCCTTCACTTGCTGGAGCGGATGATTGCGAAGTAGATTCCGAGATCGAGCGAATACTCTCCTCAGCTTCGATTTGGTCTCTCATAATATCCGCGAAGAGCTTCGCGTTTTGCAGGCCTTGTTTTAGACTATCTACCTTGGTGGTCCGGAGGGAGTGTTCCTTCTTTCGGTTTAGGGCAGGCTCAATGTATTGCTTCAACCCGTCTAGTTTTGTCTTGATGTCCTTGGTGGGAGCGTCGGCACCATCGCCATACAGCCAATCGCTTGCCTCGGAAAGGTTTTCCTTTAGCTTGGCAAGAGCGTCTGCGGCTATCGTTCTTATAAATTCCTCTTCGGTGACAAGGTCCTGTGCGCTGTATATATATGCCTCTAGATTATTGAACATCTCTTCGCGCTTAACACGGGCAAGATCTGATGCGTCAAATGCTGCGAGGCGGGCTTTTATCCGCGCCAGATGGGTCACTGATGGTGGGGGGATGCCTAGGACGGACGTAGTGAATGCGATTGGTATCGATTCAGTTTTGACATGAATGGTATCAGATGATTTCGCAGCAGACTCTGTAGACGAACTTGCGGATGTTGACTCGCTGACGGACGAGGAAGATCCGGTAGCGGATACAGAAGCAGTCGACGAGGATTCAGAATCCACAGTGGTGGACTCCGTAGTCGGGTCATCTTGAAGTGGCTGTTGATCAACCTTCTTGGAACCCAAGCCAAAGAATTCCTTCACATCTTCCACCACTCCTTTCTTCTCTTCGCTCACGTACTTGCAGCTGACAACGCCACTGACCAGTTCAGGAATGCGATCCAAGGGTCTAAGCTGGATGGAGAGCTTGGTCGTCATATTTGCAGGTACACAGCCGAATCTGTCTTTTAGGGCGGCTACTGATTGCGTTAAATTTGTGGTTTGGATGCCTGTAATCAGAGCTTCGACTGGATTGCCGTCCTGCGTGAGCTGCTGATAGAAACTGAATTCAAAGTCTTCCAGATTCTTCATTGTCACCGTTTTCTCCGCTCCAATATCTGAAGATGGTGTGAAGAGCCTCTGCTGTCTTTCTCTGTCTCCAGATTTCCACTTCATTCCAACAGTGAAGCCGGGAGTATCCCCTGCCCGGATATCTTTGACTCTGAACGATCGGCTAAGGGCCGCGCCTGTGAACGTTGCACCAAAAACTGCAGCTTCATCCGCGTTTACACTGGTTCTCAACTTGCTGGCGCCCTTGCAAGCCGACTCGAGGTGCTTCTGCACAAATGGGGTCCTAACCGCCCCTCCGTGAAGAATAACTGAATCGACATCTCTCAAATTGAGGTGTGCAGACGCTAATGCCTCATTCAGAGGTCCCGGAACACGACTGGAGTGATCCTTTGCCAAATTTTCGAAATGGGACCGCGTAATTTGATATTTAAAATTAACATCGTCATGATATAGAGCCTCAAAAGAAACTGAAGTCTCTGAATTTGCACTCAAGATATGTCGAACTCTTTCCGCTTCCTTCCAAAGCATTGCCATCGTTCGTCCATGGGCTCTGAGTTGCTCCGGTGTTGCACCGTCCTTCAGCTTTTCAGCAGCGACAAACTTTTCAATCATGTCGTTAACAATCAGCTGATTAAGCGTATTACCACCTAAAGTCTTATCCCAGCCGCTGCCTACAACTTGTACTTCCTGAACTATCTTGTTAAATCGGCCAATATCTTTGACAGATCGGCTCTGGAACCGGAGAACAGTCGCAGACGTAGAACCAGCACCCATATCATACACAACATGATACTCTGGCTTCTTCCCGTCTGATACGTTGGGAAAAGTCCGACTCGTAGCGTAATGGACACCAACAGCCAAACCATCACTGATCATAGCGATCACATTCAGCCCAGCCAATTGTGCTGCCAGTTGAACACTTCGTTTCTCCGCCGCCGTATAGAATGGTGGGAAGGTGATGACGGCATCCTGGATTTCAGATCTCCGACCCCCCATTGCTTCCGCATTGCCTTTAACCTGCTTCAATTGCATGGCTAATAGCTCTTCCACCATGAACAGTTCCCGACCTTGCTCTTCCGCCAGCCTTTTGCTTTTAATCCCAACAGTACCCCGTCCAGGTATCTTCCCTATATCGATAGCAGGATGCCAGCCTTTGTATGTCTCAACGACATTTTCCTGATGATCCCCTGAACCTTGAATTCCCGATTCAAGCGGAATGCCCAGAAGAACTTTTAGGTTAGCAAATACATCCCCAGGAAACCGAGGAGCAAGTGAAAGTGCATCGCTGCCATAGAACCTGTCTGGAAATGCGGCGTTGTGCTCCCGCGGTGGCTTAAATGCTAGCGCGGCAGTTTCTTTTCTCTTGGAATCCTTGGTCAATACAATTTCGAGTGGTACTCCGGGCTTCACCAAGGCGGCTTTTATGAACTCTGTTCCGAGATCGATTCCAATGACGGCGGAACCTGCAGCGGAAACCTGGGTGGGAATAGCGGCGAAAAGGAGAAATGCGAGGAGAGAGGAAAGAAAATAGAATGAGA